AGAAACTTAACTTATGTTATAAGTAATAAAATTTTAGTATTTAAACATAGCTGTAACGTAACTGGAATATTGGATGTACATTTTGAAACTTTTTTTAAAAAAAAAAACGTTATTAATACGTTTTTCACTCACTTTAAACATAATCCTTAACATTTGGTTTATACATATTATTATGATTTATAAGAACGAAACTGAATATTGCACATATACATAATATAAAATTCACGGTTTTTGTGATACACATTAAAGAGGAGCGTATATTACTTATATGAGAATATTTTATAGAATAAAATGACAAACACATATTTATAATGAGTAGATTTATATATTTGACTAATTATTTTTCTTATTTTCAAAGCCGAAGAAGGAATAACTCTATTTGCCTTTCATGGTAAATTGAATGAGGAAATGGAAGGACTAGAATCTGGTCAATGGTCACGCGACATACTTGTTCCAAAAGAAGGAAGATTTGTGTTTCAGGACAAAAATGCGAGATTGAAGGTACAAATGAAATATATATATTATTGATTAGATGATATACATGTGATTTTTATATAACAATCGTAATGAGTTGCAACAATAAAATCAATCACATTACATAGTTTTTTACTTCTTTTGAACTTATGCTACTATGCTTCCGTGTACTTGGTTTTCAATTTTCCATATTTAGTATGAAGAATAAATAGAAGGAACTATAAAATGACTGAATTTCAATTCCATTAAATAAATAAAAATAGGATATTAGAGCTAAAAAACATAATTTTTGCTTAAATGAGATGGTAAATTGCAGATTGATGCACACGCCACATTTTTATCGAAATGTGCAATAATTCAATTTCTGTATATATTTGTATGGTATTGTATATAGATTGGAGATAAAATATACTTCTGGACTTACGTGGATTATTTCAATGGAATTAACAAGTTGGGATACCGACAGGACAATGGACAGTGGACAGTTGAAGGTATTCAACTTAATTTTTATAAATTCAACTTTATACATTTAAGCATGTTTTTTGGAATTTTTTGACTCTCAATTTTTTTTTATTAAGTTTTATTTTTTAATAGATTACATAATTTGTTTGCCGCTCATATTTTGGAAAGTAGTAAAAATCAAATTTATTAGCATTTATTACGCCAACTTTGGTAAGCGCCTGGCTCCGTAATCACAAAGTCTCAGTTTATAATATAATCATAAAGCGCACCATATATTCTTCTTTTTTGTCAATGTTATAAAATAGAGATTTTTTCTCTTACTAGCTCCCTCCATAGTTCTTGTCTACTCTATTCCCATTCTTTGCACTCCATAATGGCGTGCTCAGCATCCGCCATAGTCACTCCACCCAAGCAATAGCAATTAGGATCGGTATTGATCCTAATTCTACTACCAGTATAGATAGGTTAACGTTAGGTCTATAAAAGCCAAGTATAATAAGAACGTTCAAAAGTAATATTTTCAATTTTTTATTCTTTACAGAATTTGTGTACCCCAATGGAACCAGAGTATCTCAATTTGATGTGATGGTAGAAAACAAAAACGGTAGGCCAACTCAAAATCCTAATAGTGGTGGATCGATAATAGTGATCTCAACAACTACTCCGTAAGTAAATTTTTATAACTTCAATATCTTACTTATCTCAAGTTATATACATATATGTACAGTTTGCTTTTAATTTTTCTACTTTTTTTAAAACTTTAATTATTTAGTTTAGATAGTTTTCTCTAAAATCATACTCAATATGTACAAAATAGTGGATTTTTTTTAAACAAAAAATTTGGTTTCTATCTTATTTTTAATTTTTTATTTGAATTTCATTTAGTAATTCAGTAGACGATAATAATTGCCGAGTAAGATCAGCAACTGTGTTGAATGGTGCCCATGCATGTCCTGGACAATTAATTTTCAACGAAGATTTCAACGACAGGACGATTTCGAGAGAAAGATGGATTCGGGAACACAAATTCACAGGACCACCGGTATTCTAACGGACTATGTTCTCTGCTTATATTCTAAGGACTATGTATTTTATAATTTTTTTTATAATGTTGAAAAATAAAAACTTTTGGTTATATTTTGTAGGATTACGAATTCGTTGTATACGTTAACGATGATTCAAATAGTTATATTGAAAATGGCAAGTTTATCGTCAAACCTTCATTATTAGAAGATAAATATGGGGAAGGAGCAGTCAATTATGATTTAGATCTTGGAAATGAGTGAGTATCATAGATATAAAAAAAATTAATTTCAATTTTTACATGGGACATTGTGTTTTAAACCATGAACTAGCTTTCGGGTGGAGCACATAGTGATTTTAATAAATTGCTCTAATAAATATATTGAAAAATCAATATTTATAAAATTGACTTGGCTCGATAGGTGTTTGTCAATCTATGATCGGAAGATAAATTATTATTGTCAATTGCCAACATTTTTTATGCGATCATAATATTTCTATTATTATAGTTGTACAGGACGAAAAGGTACTAAAGAATGCCGCAGCACAGCTTTTAGGGCAAAAATTCAAAATCCAGTACTATCAGCAAGATTAAGGTCAAAAGTAACCTTCAGATATGGCAAAATAACCATTAGAGCTAAATTACCACGTGGCGATTGGCAATTTCCAGGTAATATCAAATTATATATATCCATATTCGTTATTCATCAAATTGGAATTTATAATACAATATTCTTTTCTCAAAGCACCTTGAAGTAGTAGAATTTTGTACATGAAATTTTTCTTCAATATTTTATAATGTTGTGTGACTTTAAATGCAATAAGTTATACAAACAGTATCATTTTTAAACATTGTTAAATATATTTCTGTATTGATGAAATTTGATTTTCATGTATTTTATATTAAACTTGCTTGTTAGAATTATTTCTGGAACCAGAAGATGTTCAATATGATGATCGACCAGATAGACAACTGTTTCCTGGACAATTGCACATTGCGCGCACAAAAGGACGCAACGATGTGTTATCGGCCGGCTTGGTACAAATAATTTATCATTATATTATAATTAATTTTTGTTTAATTACATCTGTTAATATAAAGCCTTATTTTAGATGAGATTCTCTATAGATCCTTACCGTTCGTATGATATGATCAACGCAACTTTGAGGAGGAACGCATTGGATGATTTTCACGATTATACGATGGAATGGACACCAGGTAGATATAACTTATATAGAAAAGAATTAAATTTGTATTTTCAGATTATTCTATCAGTATGTCTATTTTTTACAGCTAAGATAATATTATCTGTGGATGGTATTGAGTATGGTACAGTGCATCCAAGAAGATTGATGGACGAATCTGAAAAATTAGCATTTGGAACTGATTTTAGCAAAGAGGTAAATGAGCTATGTCAATTATTAAAGATGAAATACAGAACTCTACGCCAGCAACTATTATATAAAGTATTCGCCTCACTCGCAAATTAATGATTATTTGTGATTTTCTTCTTAGAAATTATAGCATTTAATAGCTATTGTCTTCAAAATTTTGAAAGCATCAAATGATTAACATTTTTATAATTATCATTTTAGGTAAATCTAATAGTGGGCTTAGGAGCTGGTGGCATAAATGACTTTCCTGATGGAACTCCAAGTAAACCATGGGTAAACAGAGATCCGAAAAACGTACTTGAATTTTGGCAAAATCGTGATTTTTGGTTGCCAAGCTGGCAGAATCACCAGGGCCAGTTACAGGTGGATTATATCAGAATATATGCATTGTAGTGCGCTGAAATGTTTCCGACTTTTTGAATATTCAGATTGGCTTTAATTTATATGAAGTGGGAATGGATTGAGGTAATAACTGTAGGTAATAATTATTTATGGATTAGATTAGATTATAAATATTATAATTTAAACATATCATAGATGAACGCATTTATTATTATTTCTATGTACGGTATTAGATATAAGATTCTTTTATTTTTAACTTGATGTTAAAACAATGAACAATTTTTAACTAAATGTTTGAAGAAAACTTAGATATAGCCTTTATCATCTCATTATATTCAAGTACAACTTTATGTATTGTATAAACATAAGCTTTAATTTGTAATTATGTATGATACATATGATAACAAGATATAATTGTTTCATTATTATAATCTCATTCAGACATATTGTACAGTATTTTTTTTTATTTAAACATATTCATTTTTTTTTTGTTTTTAACTTCCCGTAGAATAATTTATAGTAATCGCTAAAAAATCGAAAATGAAATTTTTTTCATAACTTTACGTTTCAAAACCCTCTGAACATTTTGGCATACCTTAGAAAAAATTGATGTGTGTGTGTGGATACAAAGTTTCGTCGACGGTTTCGGGAACACCGATCAACCGATTTGAATAATTCAAAAAACATTCGATTCGTATGGATAAGGAGAAGTGCTGATTAGTTTTTGGCGAAAGTAGGTCTAACCGTTCCGAAGATACGGTGCAAAAAGTGCGAAAAACGGTATCTCAGTTTTTAAGATTTAAATAATTCAGAAAACTTTGACTTTTACACTTTTTATTACTTGTACTGACAAAATAAAGAACTGTTCAAATTTTTGAGAAGGCAGGTCCAGCAGTTATGGACTCTTAATAAAAATAAGTTAAAAAGTTGCCACATGGCGGTTATAAATTATTATAATTATTAACAGGAAACATGTCCTGTTACAAAGAAAGCAACGAAATTTATGTTTATTTATCTATGCAACCAAGTGTGCTCTTCTCTACTCTTCTTTTATCTATGGTTCTTCTGGTCAAAAGTTTTAAAACTGTTTACGACTACTAGCGCCAGTGCGATGTTCCTGTCTATTATCACACATTGAATGTTCTCTATGCTCTCCTTGCACGGTTTTCAGAAAAGCATTCTAACCTAACATTTCAAAAATATTCACATGCTTTTTATATAAATTTCAAATAACATAATATAAAGCAAATAAATAAACATGGATAATGAAATGTCAATGGATGTTGAAGACGAAACAAGCAGCGAAGAAGAACATTCTGACAATGAGGGTATGGAAGATTCTAATGAACAGGAAAATGATGGAAGACCAGATGTTTATTTACCAGGGCAGCCTTTAAAAGAAGGAGAAGAACTAGTTTGCGATGAATCTGCTTATATTATGCTACACCAAGCTCAAACTGGGGCGCCTTGTCTTAGTTTTGATATAATTAATGATCAGTTAGGAAATAAAAGAGAGACTTTTCCTCTAACTTGTTACTTAGCTGCAGGCACACAGGCAGCTAAAACACATGTAAATAGGTATTATATTGATTAGACTGCTTATAAACTTCACTAGAACGCAGACTTATTTATGCTTCAAACACTGTCATTATCATGTGTACATATAATATTTACTTTATTGAATTATTTGCAATGCAAAATGCTGATATTTCGATTGCTTATTGAGGAAATATTAATCATAATATAAGTTACTTATACCATCATTATCTTTTATATCAGTTAATCTATTTTATTACAATCATGAAAAATAGATGAATTATATTTATCTATATTTTTAGTTTGATTGTCATGAAACTGCATAATTTACATCGCACAAGTAAAAAAGAAAATGACGATGATGATGATGAAGAAAGTGATGAATCTGATAATGAAGAAGCAGAAACTCCAAAAATGGACTTCGCAACAATCAAACATCAGGGCTGTGTGAATAGGATTCGTGTAAGCTCATATTCAAATTAAATTATGAATTCACAATTAATTTGTCTTTGTGTAAAAAATAAGATTATTTTATTATCTTTAGACAACAGCAGTTTCTGAAGGTACTGTGCTGGCTGCTACTTGGTCAGAGCTAGGTCGAGTAAATATCTGGGATTTAACAAAGCAGCTAGCTACTGTCGATGATCAGCAAATGTTATCAAAATATAATAAAGAAAATACTGGAAATACCTGCACTCCTATTTTCACATTCAATGGACATCAACAGGAAGGTTATGCCGTAGATTGGAGCAAAACTGCCCCTGGGGTAAGCATAATAATCAAATATTCCATTCGATTTGATTCAATTTTATTTATATCATTTGTTTTTTCTCATTTAGGTCTTGGCAACTGGTGATTGCCGCAAAGATATTCACATATGGACTCCTGCTGAAGGAGGCACATTTAACGTTGATCAAAGACCATTAGTAGGGCACACTGCTTCAGTTGAAGATCTGCAATGGTCTCCCAATGAGAGATCAGTTTTAGCGAGTTGTTCAGTTGATCGTAGTATTAGAATTTGGGATACAAGAGCAGCACCCACAAAAGCTTGTATGTTAACAGCTACAGATGCACATCAAAATGATATAAATGTTATAAATTGGAACAAAAATGAACCTTTTATCTGCAGTGGTAAGTTTGAGATAAAACTCAATTGATATCATATTTTTTATCTAGAAATCTGGTATTGTATTAATAATTGCTATTACCTAATAGAGAAATATCTAATTTTTTTTTTTAACATATAAATTTTTGCCATTTCTATCTTAATTTCTCTTATCTTATTTTTATTCTCTTATATCCTTTTTGCAGTAAATATTTTTTTCAACTGTATATTTTGTATTTAAGGTGGTGATGATGGATGTGTTCATATTTGGGATCTGCGACAATTTAAGGATGGAAAACCACTAGCCACTTTTAAACATCATACCCAACCTGTTACAACGGTGGAATGGCATCCTACAGACTCATCTGTGTTTGCTTCAGGTATTATTTTTTTAAATTAACCTATTATATGTACTACTCAATATGTTTGTTGTATTTAAAAATCAGTGGTATCATTGCATGATTTTGTTAAATAGCCAAAGATTTCTATTAATATTACATATGTATTTTCAGGTGGAGCAGATAACCAAATAGCTTTATGGGATTTGTCTGTAGAAAAAGATACAGAAGCTGAAGATGAAACAGATATGAGTGATGTTCCACCTCAATTGCTCTTTATACATCAAGGACAAACTGATATAAAAGAATTACATTGGCATCCACAAATTCCTGGAGTAATACTTTCAACAGCACTTAGTGGTTTCAATATATTTAGAACAATTAGTGTCTAGGGTCCTTTTATTCATAAACAAATTTATGAAAATGTAAATATTTTGACTCTTTCAGAACCTTTATATAAAACTTATAAAGATTGGCATTTAATCTATTCATGAACTGAATAAAAATATGTTATTTAATTTGCTGGTAATTGCATTCTATAACTTCATCAGCTCATTAAATTATATAAGAGCTAACACTTTTAATTGTTTTTCAGAATGTTATTATACAAGTTAATTCTGTAAGGCCTTAAAATCTGAAATTGGGTTGCCCAGATAAATCTTTCTCTTATGCCAATTTCTTTTAATTCTTTCCTTACATCTTCAGTTTTGAATAATTTTATTGCAATACTCTAAGAATATTTAGAGTACTGAGTATTTTCTTAAAGTAATCTTAAGACTTACTTAATTTCCCATCTATGTTTAAAACAAAAAGTTTGGACATCCACCATTTGTGGTCTAGGAATACAATTTAATAAGTGAATTTACCTGTGATTCACAATTTTAACAATGATTGTCTCTTATAAACTCATGTTTGAAATATATTATTTATTTGTATAATACACTCTAAATACATGTCTCAATATAATTACTGAGGCATTCAAATACAATAACTTAGCAAGCGATTCAATAATTAGAACTAAGCCTACTGCTCCCAACTGAACCAGATCGCTTTTTATTTCTATCACTGGAAGTGTCCTTCCTCCCCATTACAGGACTGCCACCAGATCCAATATTCTTTATTAAAGATTTTAAACTTCTCGCTTGATGAGAAGCATATTCAGTGAGGCTCTGGGATGAATCTTGTGCTATTATATAAAAATCATCCACCAAGTGCGTTGGAGGTGGTACTTCAATTGGTACAATATCGTGTAAATTTGTTATAGGCTTCTGGATTTTGGTCTTTAAATCATATAAATTAGGATCGTTGAATTGGTTTGGACTATGCTGACTTTGGCTGGAATGTTGTGCTTGCATACTAGCAAGCCTGTTTCGAAGATGATTATTTTCTTCTTGAAGTCTTTTAATTAGAGAAGCTTCTGCATCAATGCTGCTCAATGTAGGCTGTGGCATACACTGATAAAATAATAATGGATTGAATGAAATTTATTGCAGATATCAATGGAGTTAGAATATTATGCTTGATATACCTGGAATACTGTGGCTAATAAATTATGTAGAGACACTAGGAGAGTATCTTGCCATTGTTTTGTGAAATATACTGAAAATGTTGGGTTGTCTTCAGGAGACTTTATATAGGGTAAGACTGTGAAACAAAAAATTTGTCATGAATCAAAAATTTATAGCCATTGTGTTTGATTTCACTTTATTAAAATATTAAAACTATAATTTATTAGTGTCTTTCGAAAATAAATTTTATTAAGATTTCTAAGATATAAATAAATTGAAAATTGAAGATTTATTACTAATTAATTTTGTAATTTTTATATTGCACGTCTTGAAAGGAATTTATTTTTTGAGCAAATACTAATAAATTATAGATTTACTATTTTAATTCAACAAATCTTTTGCACTCATTGTACTAAACAAATTAGAATAGCATCTCAGCAAACGAAACCAAAAAAATATATTAGTAAAGAATGATGAAATTGGCAAGAAAAGTCTTTAGATTAATTAAAATGAAATTGTAAATAGTTAGTTAGTCTTTGTTATCACATTTCAGAAATCATTCACAACTGACATTCTACCATAAGTAATAAACAATTTATTTCTATTACCAAACCAATCTTTCCATTCTGTTTGAGATTGCAGTTCTGATGCAAGTTTTGTAAAAAATTCTGTTACTTTGTCAATTTTGTTGTTAGTGACTGCTGTTACTAAATAATATTTTAGTAAGCTAAACTCCAATTTTCGAATAGCTAAAATATTAAAAAATTATGCATGACAATAACAAACAACCAAAATAGTATTTTTTTGAGAATATCTACCTGGTGTAAAATGTTGCTCGAGTTTAGAAAATAATAAACTATCTAAGTGACCCCATAGGTCTCTCAAGCCCTGTAAATCATAATTGTGAATATAACTAATAATTTGATCTATCAGCTTATCAACTCTAAATCCTCGATCTTTGTCATGTTTTAGTTCATTATCATAACTTTTTAATGTATTGGAAAAACCTCTAAATAATAAATATTCTCTAACTAATTCATCTACATATTGTATATGGGACATTTTATAAAATATGTCACAATGATAATGTTAAATTGATCATATTCCACTAATTGGTACAACAATATTTTGTAAAATAAATAACAATTTTTTATTTGAGTATAAAATATACAAATACGAGATCTGTCATTTTCTTAATGACAATGCCAACATAAGTTATGTAGATAACTTCATTTAGATTAGACATTCCGAACAGATTTTATGGATTAAAAATAAATATGGAAAATGGTATCTGTGGTCTACTACAGATGGGGTTTGTGTCAAGAACAACTAATTAACAAAATTAACTTCCCGTAGGGTAAGTTTTTGTAATAGTCCAAAAATCAAAAAAGAATTTTTTTGCATATCCTCACGTTTCAGAAGTTTCTGAACAATTTGGAATACCTCAGAAGAAATTGATGTGTGTGTTTATGTGTGGAGACAATTTTTCGTCGACGATTCAGGGCGTATATGGATAAACCGATTTGAAAAATTCAAGAAGCAATCGATTCTCATTGATAGGAGATGATTGGTTTTTGGCAAAGGCAGGTGCCTTGGCTTCGGAGATATGGAGTAAAAAGTGCTCAAAATGTCAGTTTTTAAGAGAACGGATCAATCGATTTGAATGATCCAAAAAACATTCGATTCGTAATGATGAGGAGTAGTGGTGATTAGATTCTGATAAAAGAAGGCCCAGCAGTTTCGGATATACAGAGCTAAATGTGCAACAAATTGCAGTTTTTGAGAGAACTAAACATTCGATTTGAATGATTTAAAAAACTCTCTGCTTGTGCTGACGAAACGATTTCTTTTCAGTAAAGATTTTTTTTCATTTTTTTTAATATTTAAATAAATTATTTTTTTGTATATCAAAAAATAATTCAGATTTTAATTCTAGCTAAAGTTTTAAACATAATTTATAAAGCTTCAACTAATTATAATAATCTATTTGAAAACATTTATTATTCCTTGCATATTTCAATAGAGTACGGAAAGTTCCAGCAATTTGCCTTAAGTCACGATGCCATACACCACTAGTTATCCTTTAATTAAAAAAACATCATATATTTTTCTATACCTGGCCACAATATAAAATACAATCCTATCTCCAAACCATTATCCAATTCAGAATTCAAACATGGCGCCAAATTCAATATTCCTCGTGTGGCCACACTGTTCTACTCGCATATGCCCATCTTTTTCTCTAGTCTCTTATGCAGTACGCCACTTGTCATATTGTCAATATTTTATAACAGAAGAAAGTGTTGGAGAGAAATAATATATTTTTGTAGTTAAATACCTTAAAATAGGGCGATGAACGGCAAATAATTCTAAAATTATAAGCGTTCATTCGCCATACAAAGGTGCTTATTTTAAAGTGAATTAGTTCGTGTGTCTCAAGTGTCAAATCTCGCACGTCCTGGGCAGTTTTGAATGAGTAAGTGGAATTCATAAGAAACAATAGTAATTGATAATTTAGATGTTATATATTTTTTATGTACGCGGATAATGCTGTTATTAATTATATACAAGCGAATTGCGACATAATTTATGAAATCACATTTTTTTGAAATTTATTGTTGATCCTTTTTTTATATTTTGGGGTGCATTTGTGTGTTTACCAGTTAAATTTAATTTCATTTTCGTGTATGTTAATTAAAATTTAAAGTTGTCATCTAAAATCGTTATTTATTTGCTTTACATAAATGAGGTTAAAGAAGTTATTTTGATACTGCATCGTATCTGGATTAACATGTCAAGTTCAGCAAGAAGTAGCTCGAAATCTTGTCATATATATTTCCATTAATTTTTTAGATAATTTTTTTCAAAGGGTTAATATAATATTTATTTAGCTATAGATTGTTTGATAATTGGTGCATTAAATGAATTATTTTTAGTGACTAATCTGGTGTAAGGTTTACTCAACTATAACATCAATTTTATCATACCACCAATGGAATATCATATTCATTATTAACAAATATGTGAAGTAATTAATACCTGATGAAAAATGGTGAAAAAATACAAATATAAATTTGAATTAATATATAGGTGCTCACTTGCTGTGTTATTTAGGTTAATATTTAATTTTCTATTCGTTCGTTCGAATTTAATTTTATAATATGATCAAAACAAATTGCCCGCCAATTTTGAATAAAGAAAATATCATTGCAAAAACAAACTAGTGGTGTATGGCACCGTGCCTTGAGGCAAATTACGGAACCCAAAAAAATTACACAAAATGTGTACACACCCAGACAACACAAGACATCCCGGAGAATGTCCACAGGATATCCACGCGCGGACATTCATTGTCCCTGCGATAGCCTTACGGATATCCCGCTTATCCTGACCTTGTCCGATACATGTTAATATGTCGCACCTATGGGACGTTCTGTAGGATATCCCGCGCGGGATATTCCGGACATAAACCGGACATGAATAGGATATAATTATGGAATTGTTTTTTACTTTTTAGATGAAAAATAAATTTGGATTAAAAATAAAATAAAAGAACACAATTTCACAAAGTAAACTTTTATTACAAAATAACAAAATCCTGAGATAATTTTATAACAAAATTTAATATATACAACTTTAATTCAAAATAACTTATTTTACAATATTAAAAATATAATTAATTCGGCATTCAATCCTAGTTCATGGTTGATTTTCTCTCCTGAAATAGAAAACAAATGAATAAATGCATATATATGTATATATATATGAGTAAGTTCTTTAAGAGCGATACATCAATCAAAATAGACAGAGATTTATAAAATAATCTCTAATTCCAAATATATCGACACAATTTGATGTCATTACGAGTGAATATTAAACTTGGTTTTTTACATCTAAAAATGTGTACACAGCACAAATTTTGCACTAACATTGATACAACTAACCAGTCAATAATCATGATTTTTTTGTAAATAGGAAAAACATATAGTACACATCTCACAAAAATACCTTGTATAATATTTATTGGCACATCGCAGCCAGCTTTTTGCAGCCTCTGAAACAGTAAACTATGTCTCATGCGGCAAATTTTTCAAAGCAATTCCTGGAATTAATTATATATTAGTTTAATTCATAATTTACAACACATCATAAGTATAAGATATATAAATTACTTGTGATGACATCGCAAGGCACTAGATCACAAAATTTATTTTTGCCCTTTCCTCGTCCCTAGCAAAATTCTTTGTCCAAACCATCATCAAAAATGGATTTTCATAGCTGGACTCTGATGGCTAAATACAGAATATAAAGAGAAAGTTTGTTTAGTATATGATAAAGTTAACAAATAAAAATAAATCTATATAAACTTTTGATTACCAATTGTGTTTTGATATTTTTGCTCAGAAATATAGCCTCCACAAGTTGAAACTCCTCCAACAAACATAGTGGAGAGCATTTCTTCTTTCTCAATCCTCTTTCAAACACAGCATTTGATACAAAATTAGGCATGGTTGCTGGAAAGCTGGCAGGGTAGAAATGTCAGCATTAAATTAAAAATTCTATTTGTACTAGTAACATAGTATTTCAAATAACAGTACACAGAAAGCTTTAATTACCATCGTTTATATCTGCCCCCTTTTCAATATGTTGGCTGCAATATTTATAACACACACGCACATATAATTATATAGAACACATAAAATTTCCACTATTATTACACAATTTTAGAATATTTTGATAGATAATATTAATTATTTATAACACACAATAATTCACATATAAGCGTATAACACACATAATTCGACATATAAGCGTCTGTTTGATGACGCTTAGCTTAACCTTAAAGGACGCAAATCCGACGCGACGAAAGAGAAAGGGACAAACATATACGTTTCGAGGTCTCAAGCCGTGCGCGTATACCTGCTCGAGTCCTTTGGTTTTGAGACGTCCCGTTGCATATTCATAGGATATTCTTAGGATATCGCGATATTAGGAGATTGTGAGGACAAGTGGGACATTCCCTGGCATGTCTTGTGCTGTCTGGGCATTATTAAAATCTCTATAAAATATCTGATAATTTCATGTACATATGTCCAATGAACATTTTTGGCCGTCAAATGACATTTTTTTAACTTATTTTTATTGAGAGTTCATAACTACTAAACCTGCCTTTCCAAAAATTCCATCAGTTCTTTATCTTGTCAATACAAGTAATTTTTTTTTGAATTATTAAAATCGGACGCTCCGTTCTCTTAAAAACTGAGTTACCGTTTTTGGCACTTTTTGCCCCGTATCTTTGGAACGGCTAGACCTGCCTTTGCCAAAAACTAATCAGCACGTCTCCTTATCAATACGAATCGAATGTTTTTGGAATTATTCAAATCGGTTGATCGGTGTTCCCGAAATAGTCGATAAAAATTTGTATCCGCACACACACATACACATACAAACATACACAAACACACAAACATTTATCCATTTTTTCTAAGGTATGCCAAAATGTGAAGAAACCTCTGAAACGTAAAGATATATAAACAATTTCATTTTCGATTTTTTTGCGATTACTATAACTTAAATTTAATTTTACAATATTCATGAAGCTAGCTTCGAGCCATTTATTTTTTATGAAATGAAATGATGAAAATGTTACCATTTTGGTGCATTTTTAATATCATGACCAGTTATCAATTTGATGCATTTTTAATATTGTGGCCAAGGTAATCATGGCTCATTGGAGTGAAATTTGGTTTAAAATGGATAAAAATGTACCATAGGCCTAGCTAGATTAATTCACTATCAAGTACACATGTGTAAATGTGTACAATAGTGTCCAGAACTTCAACAAATAATTGTTTATTCATGAGTTTTACTTTCATAGTTCATAACGCATATATTTACATACTGGTCTTTTAATTAATGCTGTTTAAATTCAAGAAAACGACGAAACTCCAAAACCTGGTGTCTATCTAAATTAGACTGTGGTATTAGATCATTAAATTAATGATTAAATAAGTCATTAAATATGACTAACTATTTTTGAAAAATATCACTACTTCTATTAATCTAGGTATTCCTTTATAAAAACTCGATAAATTTGCATAAATTATATTAATATTCATTTGTGTAAAAAAGTCAATACTGCAAACAATTCAACATATTTAAAACTAAAATATTCAATGGCTTTCCTCTACTTCACAACCAGCCAATTCTGGCCAGTTGCAAATTTGATTCTCTTTGTCAAAATGCAATCCTGGTGGGCAAATGTGCTGGTGTACTTTGAAGGATCCATCTCCTAAAGGAATGCATTCGTAGAATGTTGTGCAATCTGTTGGATTTGGGTATAATCCTTTGGCTTCGCAGACAATTGGGGAAATTTCAGTAGTTGTCTCTGGTGGAGGCCTGGAAATTAAATAAAATCATTACCTATCCACATGCCTTGGCAAGTCTTTCTAATAAAATATTGTTATTGGAGTTGTAAATTTAATTATAATCTTGGTGATTGATACTTTAGTCTGGTAAATCCATTTTACTCACTCAGTTGGTCCGGTGCCAGCAGTGGGTGTAGTGGGTGGTGGGGCTGTTGGAGGGTAAGTGACCTCATGTCCGTGTAAAACCCTGTTGATCATTTTTAACATTGGGTATTTTTCTCCATGGCACAATCCTAAGAAATCATCGGTTTCGATACTCCATACCATGGCTCCTGCTAATCCTTGGTCGACGGCGTATTGAGTCTGGAATATAAAAAATAAATTTTTTAAATGATAAAAAATATTTGCAGTTTACTGATTTTGGAAGGGATAGCGAGGATCCATTTTTGGTGGTATTAGCAAATCTTTGCACATCATTTCTATCTTTTTTCATCAAATTCCCTAACCCTAGAGATGATTTTCTTGGACATGGTTGTACTAATATTATGCTTTTGTGTCTTCACATATTGTGAAGTAAAATTTATAAAAACGAATAGTATTTTATGAAAAAAGAGGTTGAAATGATTGCATTTGCTATTTTACTAGAACGTTTTTCATCTAGGAAGTTTTTCTAAATTCCGTGATTCAGAAATTGTATGCAATTATTTTTTATTGGTTCGTGAAGATCAACAATCCCGAAAGGTCAAAATTGCATGAGAAATTTATTCATCAAATGTAGTATATTAACGACATTTGTATATGTTAAATTTTTGCATATTGCACACGCCTTTTACGGATTCTTTTTTATTTCAATCATCTTTATATGGAATTGATATGTGGGATAATTTAATGCACATTTACTCTTGGTCCGACACAAACCTGTTTTATTTGTCAACCTACAACTTAATCATTATGCATCGAATCTTATTGCAATAAATCAGTTCAGTATTTGAACAAAGCAGTAAGGGATTTTTTTTTACGAAATTGTAATATTGATTTTCGTCTTCTATTCGCGACATCAAATACTACTTATATTATTCAAGCACAATTTACATAAATTTTCAGGTTATTAATGATCCTTGTCCAATCTTCATATTTTGTATTATAATGATTGAAAATGTGAGCAGACTGTTAAGAAATTAGAGTGGAACAATATAATAATGTCAGATGCAGTACAATGACGTTATTTCAATATCTGTACCATATAAGGAACTTATGATCATACCCAAGTATGGGCGCATCTTACGACATATCATTACAGGGCGAATTTTATTTAATGAATCGATTTTTGAAATTTTGAAAGAATTAATTAAATCTGCTCTTCATTTTCAACTTGGACCATATAGCAACTGTGTCCCAAATTAGAATATCTGGAGACGATTAGGACGGTGACTTAATTCCAGTGTATTTAGAGCGTCATCATAAGACGTGCCAAGACCGCTCTTGTTACGAGAAAATAGTTACTGCACATTCTAGTTTATATTTATCAAGGTTGTGTCAGCTATGGTTTTGTTTCAGAAATTAAAATTGATATATAGATAGACATTTAATGTTTAATTTGAGTTCAATCTAAAATCAATATGTTTGATATTTCTAAAAATAGCGAGGCGCGCTTCGATGATGTATTCAAAGTGTGCTATATCATAAATCTGTGTCGAGACGATTATTGGTGTTGATACAATTCGAAAACCAGATTCGTGTAGATTTTTTTTTAACTTCTTGTATGGTAAGTTATAGGAATCGCAAAAAATGAAAACATTCGTACATCTTTACGTTTCAAAGGTTTCTGAATATTTTGGCATATCATTAGAAAAAATGGATGTAAGTTGTGTGTGTGTGTGTACTCGTGTGCGTATGTTTGGATACAAATTTTTGTCAACGATTTCTGGAGCATCAATTAACCTATTTGAATTATTAACTTTTGATTCCTATTGATAAGAAGACGTGCTGATCTTTTTATGGCAAAAACAGGTCCGCCCTTTTGGGATGTATACAGAGCAAAAAGTGCTAAAGATAACAATTTTGAGTTCGATTTAAATGATTCAAATAATGTTTTGCGGTTTTGGAGATGTAAAAAATATAGCAAAAATGGACATTTCTTGATAAATATGACTTTTATAAATCTTTTACAATCTGTAGCTCTCCAAATATTTACAGTTTCGACCAATTTTTTTGTAGGGTTATATATACAAACTGCTTTTAACTATTATTATTATTTTGAATTCAATATTCGTATTTCATTATTGGTTGCAAATAATTTTATTGTATGATAGACTAATTTTATTCACATTTTTTTTACTTAGTTTTTTCTTTATCATAACGAAAGTTGTTAAACTATTTTTAAGCAAGTTTTTGCTTGATTTTTATAGTTGATCTTTAAATCCGATACTTGAAATTCTTGAATTTATTTTCACCAGATCTATTTATTTGAGATTTTACTGTAGATTATGATGTTGGATTCGATTGTTAAAAAAATATTTCTATCCACTGACCTTAATAGAGATACTGCGCAAATCATCATATCCAAACCATTGGCTTCCTTTGACTGCAAATGGAGCCAATTGTTCATCTTGCCAGTATTCTGTCCATCTATCGTTGCCCATTTGAATTTCACAGAACTATAAAATTAAAAAAAAAAATTATTGAAATATTTGATAAAAATTTGTATACTTCATAACCAAGTCTGCAAGGGTACATTTGTTTTTGGAAAACCTTAAATCCAATCTATTCCTAAAATTTTTGATATAGCGAGTTGCATTTACATGGGTTTCTGGATATCAAATAAAATTAGTATGCTAATATAAAATATAGATGATTTTTTATTAATTTTTGTTAACTTGCTGCAAATTTTGAAACTTTTATCATATCAGTTTATGATGATTATATGAGTTTGAGATGATTATCAGTAATCTATTATTCTTTTACCTCGTTGTATCCCATAAATCCAGGTTGTCCTGTGTAAGGACCTCCTAAACCTGCTCCATAAGATGCTGATCCAATGGTGATGTTTTTGGGGTTGGCCAATTGGAAAGTGTGTCCGTAAAGTGGCATACCTAACACCAATTTTTTGGGATCGGCTCCGCTCTTTAACCAGTAACTGTAAAAAATAATTGATCACATTCAAATAAAAACTTTGATCCATTTTTTACTCACAAGAATCGTCATTGTTGTAGTCGTTTTTAGTAGTGTTTTTATCAATATGTTGCTTTCATTTCCTATATTTTGAAAACGTACATTGTATTGCAATAATGGTAATGTGTTCGAGATTGTGTATCAATCAACAAACGATATTGATTTCTAATTAGTTTGTGTACGTACATGAATAATTGATTGATTGATAGTGCGCGATAAATAGAAAATAGAACATTTGATTCATTTCAGTCATTGAATATTTTGATAGGCCATTTGTTTTATTTGATTCTATGTATGTTGTTTGATGTTTGACCTACTGGTACTGTTTTGATTATTCAAGGTGCTAATATTAATATAATCATATTAATTCAGTATAAGATGACCTATCGTTAATTTATATTATACTAGCAAACTCGACAAACTCCGTTTCGCCACCAGATGGTTTCGTGAGAAAGATGAAGAAATTTTTTGTTTGTTTTATATTTGAAAAGGAAAAAAATGTTTTTTTTACACAACAGTAATGAATTTATTTCGATTACAAAAATGAAGTATTTTTTAGTTGAACTTCTCTAAGTAAATGGAAGTGAATCCGCCAATTATCACTTTCATTGAAGTGCTATTTGGTAAAGCACATTTTTTGTTTTTCGGTCTGACGTTAATACAAACAAAGCGGATGGTTTCCCAACTCGTGAACAAGCAACGTATAACTGCCCATGTGAAAAACAATGATTTTCTAAATAATCTATTTGAAATTTATCCTGCAAACTCTAAGCGATTAGCCTTGCGACTTGTTATTGCGAACGCAAGGCGAACTGGGAATTGCAAACGGAAGACCAGTCGGAATCATTGGTATGTCACCAAATCGCCAGCAATTTTTGATTGAATGGTGAAATTCAATGCGTGTACATCATTATTCTTTGCGGCAAGAATTGCTTGTTGACTTAACCAAGCATAATTCTGATAATTATCACTAATGTTATTACTCGAATTTTTAATTACGGTGCGTGAAGTTCCAGCAATTTGCATTAGAGCACGATGCCATGCACCACTAATTTTCTTAGCTATAAACATTGCGGAGCCCGAGACCTTTCCAACGAATGTAAAATTCTCGAATTCGGTTCGTGCGTTCTGGAGTTATATCGTCAGGAAGGAAAACCCAACTTATTTTTATATATATGTAGATTATAGTAGCGTTCTTGGTGACCAATATGGCGCTTTGGAGGTAGGAGTAGGTATTGGGCAGTGCAAAGTAATAATAGTAAAATAGCGTTGATTTTGCTTTTTAGTTTATAAAATATTTCCTCTATCATTTATTATGTTTACTTACGATAATGATGCTTCTACAGTAAGTTGATCTGGTTCATGTGGATTGTCAGTTGGCAATGCGCGCATTGGTGCGTTCAGACCGATAACATTTTCCCATGGTCCGTGCAAATCGTAGGCCATGATGTTGATGAAGTCCAAATATCTGAAAGTAAATTGAATTAATGAAAAATTAATTGGCGTTGATTGTAGGTCACATTTGAATAAATATTATAAGATGGAGATAAAAGAAATTATGTAGATATTAAAAATATTTTTTGAAGGTAGTTGTTGCACTATACTCAGCGTTTACCAACCCGTTTCCAAAAATTCTAACTGCCAAAACAGATGATATAATCACAAGCTTGATATCAAGCAGGGGTTATATCAGATTTTTAATTGAAATTACAGATCTAAAATATGATAACAAGTGAAAACAGCTCTTTACGGGCATTACTCCATATATATCCCTACTATGTTAGATAGATAATCTAATAAAAAATTGATCAGGTAGATAATGGTAAATCATTGGTGGATTGCATTCTAATAACACGAATGATAAAACCACTAGCTTGATATCGAGCAGCAGTTATATCAGATTTTTATATATAATATAAATTTGAATCTCTTCAAAAAAAAAAAAAAAAATGAAGCCATCTGTTTATACCCAGACGTCCAATTACTGGATTGGGATTGGATTTAGACGTTCGAAGTATTTGCAAAAAAATGTTCCAAATATAATAATGTATTAAAAAAGCATCTGAATTTAGATTCAATTTTAATGAGCATTAATTGTTAATTATTTTGTCTTGAAATAATATTATTTTTTAATAAATAATTAAAACTACAAAGTGTAGTCATTTTTTGGTCTACGTACTTCGAAACTTTAGTTGTTTTTGTCACTACAAACATCAGTAAATTAAGGTCTCGAAATCAATAAATAAATACGAATCTACACCAATCTTTCAATAAAATCGATTTAAGAGATCATAAAAAGAACATTTAATAAATAGTATATATGTAGACATTTTTTACTTTTTAGATTGCTCTCAGATTAGAAAATATTCAAGAAAGTGCCATATGGAGGCCGTAGGCTATACCTGTTCATCATCACTCTCTAATACTTTTTCTTCAGTTTACAATATATGTTCTCAATGTTTTGTTGAATTGATTATTTACAGTGTAATGTTTCCGTTCCAAATAATATTGAGTGATTTATAAAGATAAACAAACCTAGCCAACATACGTCACAATGTCTGAGCGAACATTGCCGACGACGATCGCGAAACTCTCCCTATTGATCAATAGGTATAAATCCTATTCAATTTTAATTTTTTTTTATTTTAAATGTACACGAATTGCAATGTCTTGGCATGAATTGCATTTACTTTTCATCACTTTTTTATATGATATTCAATTTCAAGTATAAATATAGTCTGAACATAATCAGTATAACGTATAAATCAGTTTGAACATCAAGAGTATTTTTATTAAGCATTTTAGTATTTTAATGGGAAGTACTGCCCTAGAGAGATTTCTCATTGCCATTTCTCATCCCTAAATGGGCTATTTCAATTGGAAACGTATTTATGATCTATATTTTCAAGCAAAAATTGATATCACTACTGCATGATTCAGTTTATTCAGAGTTTTGGGGTAAATGATATTTTTTTAAAATTTAATTATAATTAATTATTTATTTTATTTTTATTTATTAATTAAAATAAATTATATAAAAAATTCTGAATATTATTCTGAATTAAATTTTAATTTCTAAATTTTAGTATTATGAAAATTTCTGGTGGTGTTTAAACGATTTCTTATTTACCCAGCTAACAATTAAAAATAATTATTTATCACGTTTTACTAATTATTTAATTATCTTTTATATACATTATTTGAATTATTCGTGACCGATTCATACTATTTCGTTATTTCGATTCTCCGTTTTAATTGTTTTAGACATGTAATACTACATACATGGTAAATAAATACCGTTAGGGCACTTTGTTCTAATATTGCATTGTAACAAATAATTTATTCGAAACACGAACTATCGCATGAGTATCATAATATGCGATGCGACCGATATAATTTTTATTATGAATACTGTTACAGTTGTTTGTTTAATGGTAAATGAAATATTTTATAAACAATTATGTTTTTCAATTTGTTAATTGTTAGTTGTTTTATAACCTTGGTAGTGTAGATTTTTGACAAATTTAGGTCTACGTCTTTTTTTTGATTTTTGGTCATTGACGATTTTAAACGTATCTTGAAAATTTATTTTTCTATTTATATCGAAGCATGATATAATTTTCCTTTACATATGTAAATTCCCTATTGACAGAATTATTTTTATACGTTCATTTTAACTTCGGGAAATGGAAATGCATTATTCACATTTGCTTTTATAACTGGCATCGGATAAAAATATGAATGTACACGACCACAAGAATACTTCACGTTTTTCTATTTTTATATATGGTTGTTCATGATTGAACATATGTATGGATATTGAAAGTTGTATGTTGAGCAATGCAAAAATAACTCGAAATTATTTGAATTAATTCTGAAATTAAATTACGCAATTTACAAGATTCATTTGTAATATGATAGTGATACACTATTATTTTAACCTGTAAAAATTTTATTTCAACCCTTGCATTACCAGATATGGTCCAAAACCAACGAATTTTCACATTGAACTGAACAATAAGGTTCATTCACTATTAATTATAAAAATTTTTGTGAATTGAAATCTAAGTTTACATCGAGTTAATAACATTCAATTACAATTCACAAGATTAGCAAATTTCTTCAAATACTTTATCACAAATATTCGAGATATAATTTAATTAACTCAATCAATATTAATTCGGAGCAATTAATGAATCTTGTGTGCGGAGCAACCGTGTCTTAAGTATCGTTTTTTAAATATTGTTTTAGGTCTAAAATTGAATATAATTTGTTTCATGTGATTATTGGATTGTATAAATATTTTAACGATTTTAGAACTGGGATTCATCTGATGACATGTATTGACTCATTTGTGAGTTCATTCACATATGGTACTTATAATTGATATAGCAAAATATTTACACTTATATTCAGAGGCGGTTCATTAATCACGTGATCGACTTATAAGGATTTTTGGACCCTATTTGATATGTGGTTATATTTAAAATTGCCACCCTTTTCGCTACCAACATTTTGTGTATTTTTAGTACCAAGAAAAAAATGTAAAAATTTTGGATTTTTTTTATATTCTGGATTTTAAATTTTTTTTTTTAAATTTTGGATTTTGTTTTTTATTCAGGAAAAAAATAAATAGGGTCGTTTGCAGTTTAATTAAATGCTTGTGAATTATTTATTAGGTGCGTATGATTTTTTAACAATTTTGTCAAAATATTTAAGGTTGAACGACTAATGAAGTGGTCGATTACTCGATCATTATAAATCCATTGATTTAAGATTTACTTTTCTATTCTACTTACTTCTGAATTTGTGGAATATCATAAGACAAAGCTGCAGAAAATTGAGCTGATGCAACAGCGGCTGACAGAGATAATCCATATTTGTCAAATTCAGCCCTCAATTCTTTAAGCAATAAGGTGTAAGATTCTTTGTCACTTTCACTGCCTTCTCTTTGAGCTGGGTATTCCCAATCTACGTCCAAACCATCGAATTTGTATTTTAGGACGAAATCGACAGCACTCTTCACGAATTTGGCACGGAGTTTGGGGTCATTTGACATCTGTAATGGATTTATGGATGGTAGTACGGTTTTTAAATGGGATAAGATTTGAATAAACTAGGTTAAATGTTGGGCAAACTGCCCATTGGGTTTTAGTAGTATTATTGTATATATTTGGCAAAAGTTTTGGGGAAGATATATATTGCCTTCAAGAGCATTGAAGTTGGAGGACATTTAGGTGCATCTATTGACAGAACAGACAGACAGAAATAAATATTTATTCATTATATTGGTACATACATTGGATTAAATGTGGGGTTTTCTACCTTTTAGGGTTTTCGATAAGTTATGTCGCAGACAGAAGGTTATAATTAGGGAAACAATAGTAGAAATTTCATATTAGTAATATCAAAAGGAGTTTAAGAAGAGTCTTCAAAGGGAAATTTTAGTGGAATAACTTTTGACTTCTATAAATTGTTCTTTGGATTGGATGAATTTACTTGTTACGTTTACAGGGTAAGTTACTGTGATCGTTCAAAAATCGAAATTGAAAATTTTTGCATATTTTCACGTTTTGAATGTTTCTGAATATTTTGGCATACCTCAGAAAAAATTGATGAGTGTGTGTGTGTATGTGAATGGATACAATTTTTCCTCCACGTTTTCGGGCGCACGATTTGCGTGGTTCAAAAAACATTTGATTCATATTGATAGGGAGATGTGCTGATTAGTTTTTGGCACAGGCATTTGCAACCGTTTTGGAGATACGGAGCAAAGAGTGCAGAAAATAGAAATCGAGTATTTGAGAGAACGAAGCATCCGATTTGAATGATTCAAAAAACATTCAATTTGTAATGATAGGGAGAAGTGGTGATTAGTTTTTGGCAAAGGCAGGTCCAGCCGTTGCGGAAATACGGAGCTTAATAAGCAAAAATGGCAGTTTTTGAGAGAAATAAGCATCCGATTTGAATGATTCAAAAAACTTTCTGCTTGTGTTGGGGAAACGATTGTTTTTTGGGAAAAGAAGAAACAATTTTTTCAATTTTTTTTTAATTGAATATCGAAAATAATTCAGATTTTCAAAATTTTTATTTAGTACGGGAAGTTCCTGCAATTTGCCTCAAGGCACGATGCTATACACCACTAGTTCTTTATTTTTATCAGAAATAATTTTTTTGGCAATATGATACTAAATCAATTATGTAGGTGCTATATATTTGGTCATATTTAGAATTCTTTTTTTATGGTTGTGGAAACATTTAAAGTGGTAGAACATAAATAGATATTTGGGGTAGTATTTCGTAAATTAGAATACAAATTACTTAAAACAAATATATACCTTAGAGTATTTAACAGAACCTTCGTTCCATCCTCCAATGGCTACAATGAACTTTGCTCTTGGGTTTCTATCCCTCAGCTTGATGAATTTACCAATATTATCTGAAAATAATATTTACTTAATATGAATAATATTACAATATGGGAGCTTTCGTAAAGATCCTTTAGGCATTGGCTCTTTCGAATCAGGTCGTAATGTCATAAAAATTAAGAAGCTCAATGAACTAAAATGTATTTTATTCAGAATCTTTAAATGAACATAGGATTTGATGATCATTATTTTTTCAATTCCACAAATTTGAATCTACCCCTCCTTTGTGATTAAATTTTGATACTTTTTGTATAATTTTTTAAATTTTTTATCAATTACCTCTTCCATAATCATCAGCCAGATCCAAATATGGATCCAATAGTTTAATTTCTGAATTTTCACTCAATCCAACAAATGTGTAAATGTAATGGGTGCAGATAAATGGGTCTATGTGTTCAACATTGAATTGACCATTTGAGTGTCTGTAAGTCGCCCATGTGCCATAATAACAGACTACTTTAACTGCAATGAGAAAAAAATATTTTATTTAAAAAAATGTTACAAATTCAGATATAAGAATTGAATCAAATAGTTAGATTTTACAGATAATGCAAATATAATTATTATATCTAGAAATATTAAATCTTTCATTGTTAAAGTTGCTTTTTTCAATCTTACCATAGAATAGCAAATTTTGTACTAAATATTTTTTTAAATTATAATACGATTACGTATAATGAAAAGTATTTATTTGAAGTAGAATTGTCTTTAGTATGTGATTTAACTATATTGTCTTTAAATTTCTAGATGTCGTCTAAAGGCAGTTATAAATTGTATGGCGAAATAAAAAATAATAATAATAAAAAGTAAAACATAAATTTTAACTAATAATACGCTAATTAACTAACAATAAACTACTGATCTGAAAAACATTACAATCAATGATTTTTTTGAGTACACGGTTAATATACCATAAAAAATCATTAATTGTGTAAGGTCAGGTTAATTGTTAACCTAAACTATGGTCACTTTTAACTCGGGTGGAATATTTTTGTTTAATATCCATCGATTTTTATTAATTCAATTCTAATTTCTATTCTTAAATTTTAGATCTTTGGTAAAAAAAATTCAACAAATTTGGGCTGATAATTTTTGTTTAATATCCATCGATTTTGATTAATTCAATTCTGATTTCTAATTATGTAAATATTAGGTGTTTGGTAAAAAAAATCAAAATATATAAACAAGAACAGAAATAAAATTGGTTGATTGATCTAACCGTAATGCATTTAATGTTGTTCAATTTCACTTAAAAATAAATAACCACCAAGTTAAATTAATAAATTATTAGTTTATGAATTAAATTTTAAATACTTGTTTATTATACAAACGTGATTGGATTGTTTGCGATTGAATTAAAGTTTTCTGCGAAATTATAGAATTTTGTTTCTTGCTAATTGATGTGGAAGAGATTGAAATTTTGATACTTTTAACTTCAAAACAAAGTCTATTATATTGTTTTGTTTGTCCAATATGTGATAATATTTCCAGATGATAATTTTGAGTTTTCTGAATTAATTTGATTCAAAAAAGTCAAAGAAGGATATTCCAGAATTCTGGATTTTTAGATTGACACGAGGTATTCGATTTTGTGGAATTCGACTCAGTATTTTTAAATTTATTTAAATTGCGAAAAATATTTCTTAGACAAGAGTCGAATATCTATTGTTCTTGATCATGTCTTGCTTGTGTATAATTAATTGAAAAAAAAATTAATAATAAATTAATTGTTTATCAATGTGTGATTATACGCCTAGATAGGATTTTGTTTGCTTATATAAATTTTATATTTTAATAAAAATGTACAGAATTTTTATTGTGACTAAACTATTTTTTATTAAATGTAAATTTTTATAAAACTTTTATAATTAATTTTATTTCTAAAATGATAAAATATTGTTTTTGCACTAAAATATTTTTTTTTCATAAAAATATTAGTTTTTTTATATTGATTTTTCCTTGTATGCTATGCAAATATCCATTAATTAACACCTAATTATCATGGATAATTCTGATAATTTTTAAATCACTCATTGCGAAAAACTAAAATTCAAGGTATTTTCTATAATCTGAATTATCGATTAGTGTTAGCAGATAACAAAAAAAATTCAATGTGACATATTTTTGGTTTTATCAAAATCCGTAATAAAAATAAAACTTTAATTATACTATTGACAAAAAGTGCTATATAGATAAATGTGCGTGTTATTTACTTGTTTTTAGAAATATCTTATTTTTTAATTGTCTATCAATAATGTGTGAATTTGATTATGATCTTTATTTAGATCTACACGTGTTAAATTTGCAGTGATTTAATTAGTTGAATTATCAGATTTAATTGGATAAATTAGATCTATGAATTAAAATTGTCAAATTTGTAAAAATTAAGTTGAAAATTTAATTTTACTAAATAATGCTTGTAAAGAATTCTAAAAAATAATTTAAATTGATTTTGATTTGAAAATTAAGTAATCAATCAAATGTAAGTTTAGTCATGCATATTAAGTTGTAATAACGTAGGTACTAAAAATAAAATAAGAAAGTCGAAATTCAATTATATCTTTATTAAATCTTTTGTTTTTTTTAAACTATTTTAACGAATTTATTTATTTTTTATCCCTTATATAAGATGAGTGCTTTATGACCTTTCCTAGGCCTAGCGTTCATTTACAAGTCAAGTTTAGAAATTAAATTTTTTTTGTAATATATAAATAACACAAGCTAAAATAAATTTAATAAAATTTAAATTATAAGTTAATAGTCGTCAAATTATTTCAAGATTTACACACACTGTTTTCGAACACAAAATTTATTAAAATAAAAAATAAGTTAATAAACATTTATTTCTCTACTTACGATCTTCAGCTGCAACAAACAGCGAACAATTCAAAATCACTGCAAATACAATTAAACTTAATTTACTCATTCTTATTTTGTTTCACAATATTTTATGTCATTAGTTTAAATTCTTAATGTTTATTTTGAAATCTGCTGTAGCAATGAATAACCGAAAATTGAGATTACTCGTTTTTATATACATGCTCACTTACAAACACAACATGGTCGATATTGTCGAAATTACGTGTTATCTATAATTTATTGTTTATCAAAGTTGATACCTATAATTCCTGGTGCGTCATATTTGCCCCGAGTTTGAAAATTTTCATCATAGGCTAAAAATAAAATAAAATAAAAAATTTAATAAGTAATTTACTTTTGGGGCACCAATGTTTGCTCAAAATTGTAAATGGAAAATATTTCGTCATCTAAATTAGCTGTAGAGTTGCATGACCTCAGTTTTTTTTGCTCTAACAAAACTCAAAATAAAAAATTAACCCAATAGTTTTATTGTCTAATAAGTTTTTTTCCTTGCAGGGAATGAGCTTAATCTTCTATACTGGATGAGCAAAGTTAACCAAGGATAAGTGGTAAGTCCAAAAATTTATTTTTGAGCTTATGCTTTTCATATTTGCACGACATATAACCACTACTTTTCAGCTAAAATTCTTTGGCACTTGAAACAAGGCAAGACTATGCGAAATTGTTGCTTTGAAATGTTTGTGTGGTTACTGAAAAAAATACTTAAAATTTCATTTTTAATCCCAATCTACTAATCCCAAATTTCCTCGTCCGGATATTATAAAAATTCAGTGTATATAAAAATCGAAGACAATTTTAAAATTTTGTTTTTCGATTTGGTCGATTGAAGATATATCTCCTATATGAACAAAAATGCCCTTTTTTGTTGAAGTTTGAAATCAGTACACCTATCTTTTTCTATAAACTAAGTTTAATTCTCTTAATGGAATTAATTATTGCAAGCTCAGAGCTTAATCGTTTGATCTTAATCAATCTAATCCAACATAAAATCATGATCAAAAAGAAGTTACATCGTAATCGTATGAAAGCTCAAAAGTAGTTATTGTTGAGAAATTTTCAGATATTTTTTCTATAAAACTTTACAGGAATATTATTTATCACTTTTGCATATGTATCATTTCGTTTTTGAAATATTGTGTGATACTATATACAATTTCTATATTTAATAAAAATTAAATTAAAATTAATTTTTATATTTTAAGGGCAATCCAAATATGAGAATTTACAACTGTCCAGTTATTTACTAAATGTCCTTAACTGGACAGTTGTAAGTAAAATAGAGAATAAAAAAAATATTTGAGAATGATTTAACTTGTCACGATTTTTTGACGAATGAAAAATTTTAAAACCTTAATTCGGGGTGTTCTTATTATAATAAGTAAATTAATAGTATGTTTAATTAGTACAAAAGTTTTCTAGTTTAAATGAGGACAATTGCAGAATAAGATAGAAACCGATGTTTGGCATGTATTTTTTTTTAAATTAGTTAATTAGTTATTAATTTCTATTGTTAATATTTTCTGACTTATTTTGCGTTTGATCAAGTTTGCATCTATTTCTTAGAATATTATCAAATTTAACAAGTATTGATAAACGATAAATTTTTGTCGGAAAAATATAGTCGCGTCATATTTTTAAGATGGGTGCTTTATTATCTTGTTTTATCATTTTTGGCACGTACCAAATCTTGATAAAAGTTACAAGCTTGTATTATATTACAAGTTAAATTATTTTACCCATATCTATCTTTGAGATATATTAGATGTATCATCGTGGGATAGCCGTTTCCATTAATCATAAAAAATATAAATTGTAAATTTGTATGCATACCTGTAGGAACTTAAGTTTTTTAAGCATATGAAAATTCTTCTATATAGTTGTGGATATAAGTTTCTAAATAACTTTACTTTTTAGTAACAAAATCAAATTGCGATAGTCATTATCAATCTGTAAATTTTCTTATTATAACTATTTAATAATGTTAATGTAATAATAAACTAAAAATGAGAAATATTATACATCGTTCATGAGTTATAAATGCAATTATGGATTTTAATAAGTCATCAATTTTAATAGTAATTGAATATTTTAATTTCACCTTAACGAGCTGATAGTAAATCGAGAAACTATACTATTTGATGTATTATGATGTGATAAGAATTAATTCCAGCAATTTTTATATGGATAGATTTTATTTGAAACGTATAAATTAAACAAATTACAAATAGTGTGATTATAAAAATTAATTTAGCATTAGAAAAATATTCATTTCATATTTGTATTCCACTATCCCATTAAAGCAGATTTATAATAATAGATTAGGAGAGCTCTAGATTTCAATTCAGGTCAACAAACTACATTCTATTTTCCGAGGCAGTTAACGCCTCAGTTTGTATAATAAATTCTCAATTAAGCCCTTTTAATTTAGATTACAATTGCGATCACATTCTATCATTATTTTGCAAGAAACAACAATGCAAACAATTTGTTTGAAGTGTTATAAATGTATTACATGAGCTTTCACATTTTTTGGTCTTAATGAAATATTTTTATTAGCGCCGGATTTAGTTTTTATGTATCTTATCGTAATAAGCCAAAATGATTAGGATGGGCTTTTGAAGTTGTTTTATTGATATTTGTTTTAAGTATTAAATGAGAAAGTACCTAGTGCTTTTCATGTTTGAAACCAATAACTATTTTGTGGAGAAGGATATAATTTTCTGTAGGATACAATTTTCTTCGGTTAGACTAGTTTCCCAAGTTAAATTGTTTTTGATTAGTTTGAATCAGTATTCTTTTCTCCATTATGCAGTTCAAATCGAATTAAATCCACATGAATAAAGATGATAAAAATGCGCAATTCATTAATATAAATTTACGGTTTCCAATCTGAGTATCAAGTTAATTCCAGTAATTTATTTAATCTATCACTTGTCGCTTTATGGACGATTGATGTCCATGATTTATAACCCAACATATAATTCTATATTGTACATCGTATCATAAAACATTCGCGCGTATACGTCGAATCATTTAATTTATCTTTAAATAATTGATAAAAATCTGCACTTAATGATTAGCAAAAATTAACTTCTAAAGATTACGTTAATCCTCTTGTCTTGTGTCCCATCTCATGTTTATCCAAATTAGTTGGGATTAGTGCAGTGCTAAAAATATTGATTGTGTAATTTTATGATATGTGAAAGTTTTGTGTGTTTTCATGGGAAAATAGTTCGGTAAATTATTATTTTTTGTGTTGTTTGACTTATAAATATTAAAACAAATGTTTGTTTTTGATATGCTAAACTGTTTTTGTTGCTATCTGAAAAGCTCAGTAAACAAATGTGCACGTTTGTTTATGGTAATATTACAATGTTTAAATTACGTACTGAATACGTCATTTGGGATTATAACCGAAAATTTATATATCAAAGAAATTTTTTTTGCCAAAATTTCTGACTATTTTTATGTCACACATATATGACCGACATGGCTCTATATCATCTTCTTGTTTTTTTTTTTTCATCTTCTACCAAATCGAATTATTTGAACAAAGCTGCAAAATTTCATAGAATTCATCTTTTCCTAAACTTGTATTTGAACAAAGCTATACAATTTCATAGAATTTATCTTTTCCTAATATTTTATTTGGACAAAGCTTTAAAGTTTCATAGAATTTTAATTTGCGAAGTAAATAAAATGCGTATACAACAGGATTACAAGCAGATTAAATTTTAAATTGTTTTTAATTGTCTTATTGAATTATATTAAAATGTTTTTAAAGTGATAAGATATGCATTAATTGATGTGCATTTGTTATTGACAAAAATGTTAGTTTTAGTAAACATAGTAGAAATGGAAATATTTTACTATTTTCCTCTAATTTTAAGCTGAATTAAGATTTTAGGTTTCTTACTCAATAGGCAAAGTATTAAGTTGGAAACTAAATAATTGCGGATTTTTGTTAGAAAACCAGGCATTTTTTCGTGAAGCTAAATAACTTGATTTTGTAATGTGTTGTCCATTTTGATCAATGATTTTTTGCTATTTTTCAAGCAGCATCGTCATCATCTCACTTTTATAAAACTTCTGGATTGATTAGAAAAAAACAGAATCAGGTACAATTTGACACCGTTATAGTCATTGAATTGTTTACCAAAAAGGAGTTTTGTAAAGATTCAAACAATAAGTAATCAGAAGTTCAAGGTTAGGTTGAGGGCCTGCCTTATCGTTTTTTTAGGGTTTTATCACCATAACCAGCCCCGGATGCTTCTTTATCTTTTCAGAAATAAAAAATGACAATTTTTTTTTATTTGATTTACCATCTTTGAATGAACGCCAAACGAAAACTACGTAATGGACCAAAAAACTCTTGTTCACTGATTGACATCTAATCTGCCTACTATCCATTAACAAAAGGTAATTTTAAATTCGGATTACGTCAGCAAACCTAAAAATTTAATTGAAACCTCCTAAAAGCTCAAAACCGCACTTACTTAGTTGCCAATTTAATATAAGAAGAGTTTTATAAATTAAAAAAAAATAAAAAAGTGGGCAAAAATTATCATTACATCAAAAAACTTATTTGCACTGATGTACATCTAAACTGCTTACTATCCATTAACAAAAGGTATTTTACATTTGAATTATATCAGCAAACCTAAAAATTTAAATCTATTTAAGCTGAAAACCGGACTTACTTAGTTTCCAACTTAATATAAGAAGTTTGTTTAAATAAAACTTTTTGATGCACATAATTTGATAAGTGCTTGCAAAAAGTATCATCATTACAGAATATTCGAAAACACATTTCTAAACAATGAAAACTTATAATTTATGATCTTGTTTTAATTGTTATTGAAATGTAGAATATGAAATGAATGGATTTGTATCTCTATTATCTGCATCATCAGGACAGAATGAAGAAAGGGCTCGTTTTGTCGTGTTTCAATTTTTTGAGTTCATTATTTTTATTCTAAGTTTCTTTTATCTATAAGTTATTTTTATATAAGTTAATAATTTTATTTCAGTTATTATTTTGTTTTAAATTTTCCTGCGATACGTTTTTTTAGAATTAGGTGATGGATGAGAACCCTCACGATCTATGCATCAATTCTAACACGAAGCAACTAGAAGAACAGAATTCCACTAACAATAACCTCAATTCTTCAATGTCGTCTTTGACTTATAAAAAGTCCTCTCTGATGTGCGAAGATTTAAATGATGTCGCCAATCCTTTCGAATCGGCAACATTTGACAGTATGACTTCATCACAACTTAGCCTAAAATCCAGTACTCATAATTTAGAAATGGATAAGCTTAACGAGACATTTGAGAAATTAAGCTCACGCCAATCATTCAGCAACGATATGAGCTTATCAGGGCAAGATATGCCTGAGATGGACTCGCTGAAGGGCGATGAAAATGATGAGAATAAATTTCAATCTGGGGAATGTGAGTTAATTTTTATTTTTGTTTATTTTGTTGAATTTATTTTATTTTGGTTAAGTTAATATAAGTTAGTTATGCATGCATTCTTAGTTTATGTTCATTTCGTTTTCTTTCGATTTTTTTTATATTTTTGATCGATCGTTACATATCGATAGTTACATTGGCAGAGATGTAAAGCTCTGAATGTTTTCTGGGAAATTTTGAATCATATCTTGGAATGGTGATAAAAGGCTTAGATTATGCCTCATAAATGATCTGTGATAATACAGGGTTTGGTCAATCCAGTATAATGGTAAATAAATATGATATCCCTTGATATCTAGAAACAGGTAAATGTTGAAAGCCATCATTTCAACAATTCCAAGTTAGAGTTAATAGAAGATGTTAAAATAATAAGAGCCTGAAATAATATTTATTATTATTGATTACGGCTTGCTTATGAATAAATAAATAAATAAATAAAAAATAATCTTAATAATGTTGATAATAATTTAGTAGTAAGAGTTATTCTCGATAAAATATAGCAAAAGACAAGAATTGGTAATACACATGAGTTCTGAACATTTTATAAAACAGAACATTTTATAAAACATTTTTTTTTAAATAAAATGTTCAGTATTTTTTTGCTTCACGTATAACTATCATACATAAAGATATACAGTTAACTATATAATATAAAGTGTATTTGTATATATGTATGTATATTATTCTTAGAAATACATATCAAATCACGATTTTTAAAAGTGGACGCAAAAATGATGCAATTTTGGCAGTAATTTACTGTATGTTCCAAACAATATGTTATTTTAAAAATACTTAATATTAATAATTCAATCATTATTCGACTGTATTGTCAGATAATGATATCTGCAGAATTATTCCATTCAATGAGTGACTACATAAATAACATGTTTGAAAACAATTTAATTAATTTGAAATATTTTATTATACACATCTTGATACATATTTTATTCTGAATTAATGTAAATTCGATTAAACTTACTTCTAGTATATAGAATTGATCGTGAACTCCAGAAATTTTTGGACATTTTCATGGACTTTACTTTTAATACGAATATTTATATTTTTTACTCTATATTTACCTCGATGGACTTGTAATATAATTATAAGTATATGTGCATATTTGTATATAATTGTATATATATATATATATATATATATATATACATTCGTTTTGTGTGAATTGTAAATTGTCTGTTACTCGCTTTATTAATTTGCTGATTGTTGGTGTTCTGATAATATCTTAAACCTTACTCTCGAATTATTGTTTAAGAAACTTTACAAAAATTTAATTTGTGGAATTTAACATAATTATTTGCTTCATCATATTTTTCATCATCATTTATATATAGGTTCTAAATTTAATTGATTAAAATCACTAAATATCATTTCTCATGATTTGGCATTGGTATGAGGTTTTATTAAACATGATTTAATTTCAGTCAATGTTTATCTCGAAATTGCTATTTATTGTAAAAAGAAAAAATGTGCAAGTTTTAATTTTAGGATTGCAATTGTGTAGTTTCCAGTGCTCAGATCTATGAAATTAATTGGGAAAGAATAAGTTCATAATTTATTAAATTACACATGTAATAAAAGTTTCTGTATGACATGGCACTATTAATATTATCATTTCAGTACTACTTTTTTACTGAATAAAGGCTCACAAGTTTATTTTGAAATGCAATAAAATATTGTATGTACGAAATCAAAATCAAGTTAATTGATTAATTTTTATAATTGTACAACTTTCCATGTGCTACTTTAGGAGCTTTATTTGTCTTTGCAATTCAAGGTGCAAATAAAGTTTAGTTGACCAAAAATTTTATATTATCAAAATGCCGAAAAAGGTCTTGTTGTTTGAATTTACATACAAAATAGATTTGCATGTGCTCTTTATATAAAATAGTATTGCATTTACCATCATGAATTCAATTTACTGTTAGGTTTTAAATTGATATAGAATGTGCCTCGGATTGTTCATATGCAGCGCGTGCTGCAATTTTGCACGATATGGTTCATGGACTTACATACGGAACAAATAGTAGGAGGTCTAGGGGATAGAAGACTTTCAATATATTTATTTTTTTGTTTATACCAAGAAATATTTCAAATTTCTTCCTTAAGGGGGTATTTTCGTGTAGTGTGATTTTTAAACCATTTGGGAAAACAACTATTGTTTTTTTTTTTAGTTGTTTTAAGAGTTGTTTTTCCAATATGTACCTTTAGTATATAATGTCTCTTCACGGCCGACAATTGTAAATTCCACAAATTGATTAAATGTCTTTAACTGGACTTGTAAATAAGAGAGAATAAAAAAAAAATTAAATCATTGTAAAAAAGAGGACTTCGATTTTTTACTATCACTTTTTCTATAATTTATTTATCAATATCACAAAAGTACAGAAAAAAAGTAAAAACAAAAGAAAAGATAAATTAGCAATTGTTGAAGTTGGGGGTTCCAAAAAATTGACACGTTATTTTGCCCATGGTTGCAGACCTCTTAATAATTCGAAATGAAAAAAAGATTATGAATCTAGAATGATGTAGCAATGGCATATACTAAGATTAACTTTTTTTTAGCAAAATGGCGAGTGTTTGAAAAAAAAGACTATTTTCTTACCACTTTTTGAGTTTCACGAAATTTGTATTAATAATAAAAATTTAAGTTTGGTTATGAGGCTGGTATATGCCTGAGAGAAGTCTATAAAGAAGATTCTTTGAAAATTTCAGAAGAACTCGAGAAATCGTGGGTATCTTATTGAAAGACATTTTTTTTTAAAAAAAGGGGGTTAAAATTTTGCAAATGAAAGCAAATAGAATAGGATTATCACGGTAAAACAGCTGTATCTCCAAAAATAATTGATAGTATTTATAATTGTTCCGTTTCTTTTTAATTGTACACTTTTTTTTTACCTTTTAGCGCTTTTATAAAAACTTTCGTGTATTCCGAATCGGTTTTTCATTGCATCATGTGCAATGAGCATGGCTAGTTTGCCCGTGTAATTGGCTGATAAATATTTCTATATACTTTTAAAATTTTGTAATATATTAGCTGTTGAAAAAAATTGTAATTATTAGCTGTTACGTTGTGAGGTACTATAATAAATTAAATATAGTGAAAAAATTGTAAATATATTTATATCGAATTTAAATTTCAATTGTACACATTTTCTTGCTAATCAAGTTATGAATTATGTATATTTTGTCAATACTTTATTAATCGCCATGGTTCGAAGTGAAAATCACAAAATTCTAAGAAATAAATTAGTCGTTCTGTTTATTTGTGAGACGAAGTGATTTTATTAATCTGGTGCGATAAAAATTTGACGTGATCGCACGTGAAAAAATATTTTGCACGCGTTGCGAAGATGATTTAAAATTGATTATCGAAATTTAAATTGAAAAATAAAATTTTACAAGTAGCAGTTTGTAGAAGTAGTTTTGGTGTTCTAAAATTTGAAGAATAGTGATGAAGCAAATTATTAGATTTTGTTTGAAAGTGGTGTGTTGAAGATGATTTATGTGATACATGGAAGTCTATGTGTAATTTAAAATGAAAGAAAATCTGTAATTTGAAACGTACCAATTTTGAGACTACCACGTGGTGATCAACTGCTGTAATATTGTCTACTGTAATATTCAGGGTGATTGTGATATTGTTAATTTTAGTATTCGCCACTTATTTCTAGATTAGAAAATAAGATTAAATATATATATATATATATATATATATATATTAGGGTGGTCCTTAATATGGACATTTTCGAATCTCCTTGCTCCCAAGGGCTTAAATGGTTCCAAGTTGATAAAAAAGAATTCTCTGAAAGTTTTAGCTCTTAATATTAACTTTTAGATAGTGCGCAATCCAATCAAACTTTGTATGGAAATAGCATGGAAAAAAATTTGAAAATTAAAAAAAAAACTGCTTTAGGTATAACTTAGCGATAAATGAATGAGTTTTTTTCATTCATTTTTTTGGTAAATTACATCTAAAAAACGTTTTTAAAATTTTTCCATGCTATTTCCATACAAAACTTTAATTGAATTGCGCACTATCTAAAAGACAATATTAAGAGCAAAAACTTTCAGAGAATTGTTTATCAGTTTGGAAGCATTTGAGCCCTTGGGAGCAAGGAATTTCGAAAAAGTCCATATTAAGGACCACTCTAATATATACAAATATAAATATAATGTTTATGGTAAGCTTGTGTATATACAATATGTTATTTATCTCTACTTCCTACAATTTATTGATGATTTTCTCGATTTTCAGTCTTTCAAGATCCGAACGCGCTCGATTTTTTGATGAACATAGGAAACTCCAACAAAAATTCCCGAGATTATAGTAAAGAATCATTATTTGTCAAATTCGACCCCTTACTCGGTAAGCACGTCTTGCCCACAGGTTCTCGAATAATAAGCCCAGAGCAAAACAAAAATTCCTTACCATCACCTGGATCGAACGAAAATAGCGAATCTCCACATCAGAGCAGCACGGAGTTGTCAAATGTGAGTAGTAGTATGTCGGATAATAGTCAAATTGAAAAGGAGGTAAATTGCACGACTGTAGCCGCTTCAGAGACGGAACCCACGAATAATAAATCTCAGCAAAATACACCGACGAAAAATTCGGCGATCGAAGTACTCGACAGATTGATATCACTTACGCCGACAGCGTCGCCTAATCAGCCAGCTCCTGCACCAGAGCCAGTGAAAGAGGTAATAGATTAGAGGGAAATACATCAGTTTAAGCTTAAGCTCTTAATAACCTCATTTTTTCTGAACTATCGATACTTTTGCCTGAATCACTTAACTCTTTTAATACGATCGTCGTGGATATCCAGTGGTTTTGCTTTAGTTGATGCAAACTGACGAATAACGACACCAGAGATTGGTGAAAAGCTAAACTGATCAATTTTAACACTAGAATGACGGAGCTTAGTTGTATACAGTGGCATCGGAACCGTGTGGGCTGTGTGGGCTTGAGCCCACCCATGAATTTCAAAAAAGTATATGGGCTAATATCTCTAAAAAAAAACCAACCCACTGGCTGTATATCAAAAAAAAAAAAAACAAAAAACGAGCCTACCCATCAAAATTTTGGTTCCGACGCCACTGGTTGTATACCTATTTTGCCTGATTGAGAGTCAATTTGGTTAATGGATTAGGGAGGAATAGAAATTAATTTTTATATACCTTTCATTATACTATGAAAAACGAATATTAAAAAAAATTACTTGAAATTGTTATGTATATCATATAAAAAATGCAAATGAGTCAAATTGACTCCCTCCGTCATTCTAGTGTTAAATACTTTTGACCAAATAAAATTTTATTTCAAACTTTTCAATACTGCCAACAATATCATTTTTATTTAAATGATGATTGAGAGTTCTGATTTGTTATTATTGGTTTTTTGTTCTTCAGAAGTGCAATTTTTAATTTATAAATACTTTTTTATAGATAATGATTAGAAAGCCTTTAAATATTTTGTGTAACAAATATTAGGGCGGCATGCTGACTCGTACAGCAGTGTCATAACAGCGAAAAACATTTTGGTAGCGAAAAGGTTAAGGCGGAAAGCTCTGAATTTTAGTATTGAAAAGTGTGCAATTTTGATATATATATAGACTATTATCAATCATGTGAAACTCAATATGAATTCTTATTTTCATATTACTGAGTTTTTAGGGTTCTCGATACATCCTATCTCCTAATTACATATCTGCCAAGTTAGAATTTATAAAATATTTGCAACGTTAGAGCAATTTAATTAAATTTAAGAAAATTGTGATCATTTACTTTTCTTGTTTTAATTTTGAATTAAATGCGACAACTAAAAGTTTATAAATTGCTGCTTCAAGTATTTTCTGAAAGTTCTAATTAAAAAAAAACTAACTATTAAAATTATTTTTTGCTTATGTACTATATTTCCATTTTGATTTTTTAAATATGTAGATAACACATATATTCTAGTCTGAGAAATATAAAATCATGCATGCTAATATTTCATTTCATAAGTAAAATTTTTATGAGAATTGCTTTTATTCGAAGTGTTTCTATTAAATCAATATCTCTGCTTGTGCGAGACGTGCCTGCAAATTCAATTTGGTTCTGGAATCTATTTATTTTAGTATTCAGAGTGCAAAATTAACATTGAGTTCAGGAACAAGAAATTAATATAGAGTTATATTATATGGCCGCAAGATAATTTTAACGGTCTTCTAGAATAAGCTTGAACTTGGTCTGTTTAATGATCTGTCGTTAAAATTATATATATATATATATATATATATATATATATATATATATATATGCGGATTTTTCCTTCAATCGTAAAAATATTTAAGTTTGGTTTTTGAAGATTTTAATCAAATCTAAATAATTATAGTACGTGTTTGCATGTATAAAGTTTGCAAACTGTTCAAAGTTATTTAATGTGCAGTATCACTTTGTACCAGTCCAGAATATATAATAGTTATAAGACTTAATTTTATAATTTGATGTTCTCTTAAAATAGGTGTTGGCACTATCAAAATTTAATTTAGAAATATAGCAGGATGTCCGCAATGAATTTTTTTGGCAAATTTAATACAGCGTAACTGTAAAACTGTTAACTAATTATTTAAATTATTCAAGTGGCAATAGTCATTAAAATTTGATAAATTTAGCTTAACAACGATCTCTGGTGTCGTACTTCGCCAATTTTTATTAAAGCCTAAACTTTGGCCGCCTTTTTTCTACTCATCTTCATAAAATTAACCAGACCAAAATTTATTATACTGCCTGCATATATTTTTAAAACACTCCGTTTAATATTGTTCTGCTCCAGAAGAAATTCATTTTTATTACTCGCCTTTTTCAATAGAAAATTAAATTCTCAGTCGTAAAATTATTACTTAATTCATTATTTGGGCAGGCACTAATTTTTCAATTATTCCATCATCATTTATTTTATTATTATCATTATTTGTTTTTATTTTATATAAAATCATCATAATACAGATATCATTTTAATGAAAATACCATCCTTTATTTTGTATGCTATTTATGTTATTATTTACTTATGTTACTAGATGTTATATTATTTAGCAGTTGTAACAGATATTGTAATTAAAAAAAAAATTATGTAGGGCAAAATCTCAGTATGATCTCAGTACTCTCAGATTTTTGTTTAAAAAATAACCGTCAAAATTTTGTGTCCCTTCCATAATTTTGTGATTTTTCAGTTAAAATTTCTAGTGACCTAAAACTCAACTAAATTCCAGGTTGCAAAAGTAGATAAAGAAAAGATGCAGTACATAGAAGAACTCAAACAGCTCCGGCAGCTCATTACAAAACAGGAACAAGAATACGAGGAACTGCAGAAACAATTAACAGAAGAGAAATCAAAAGTTGATATGTTATCTAATAAAGAGCAGGCTCTTGTTAAGAGGATAGCAGAGAAAACTAAAATGGAGCAGCAAATGGGAGTGGTTATGAGTGAATATGAAAAGAATTTGGCGCAAATGATATCAGACCGAGAGCAGGAGAAGCAGAAATTGGAAGAGCAAGTGCAGCAGATGACCTCGGAACGTGATGTGGCAATGCAGCATTTGTCTTCGGTTGAGAGTGCTTTCAGCGATGTTCACCAGTAAGAGATTACAAATTAATAAAAATTACAAATTTAATTTAATCTGTGGTATAACCTTTATCTAAAAACTTACATTTTATCTTGTTTGCAGGAAATATGAAAGGTGCAAAGTGGTCATAGAGCAGTTTAAAGCTAATGAAGAAACATTGAAAGCAGACAATGCAAGTTTACGAGAATTGGTTAAGCAACAAGATACAAGATATGATACTTTGAAAGCGCATGCTATATCCCAGTTAGACAAGTATGATATTTTTAATATGTTTTAATTAATTTTCAATGGCTTATTATGGATTAATGCATTGGATCATATGGATTATTTTCATTTATATTTAATAATCTTCATCTAAATAATTACTTCTATAATTTATTATTTTAGAGCCAATGCTGATCTTGAAGCTTTGAAGAGAAAGCAAGAAATGGAAGTGGTAAAATGTACAGCTCTGTTGAAAAAAGCAGAACTGAAAACAATTTCACTGCAGGAATCACTCACACAAAAACAGAAAGAAAATGAGGAATTGATGGCTATTTGTGATGGTTTAATACAAAAAGTAGGATAGAGTGGGTCATTCCTTATATTTTTATAATCCCAATAGCTTTAGCTTAATAACAGTAACATGCTTCTGCTAAACCTGTTTTTACCATTTATAAGTTGAAGTTTTCTAAATGGTATGCTGTGAATCAATGATTGAAGGATACTTGATATGTTTTTGTGACTGAGACTTTGTATTGAAATAATTTTAGATCATTTTTAATTAATAATGTGTTATATGTATATTTTGTATTCATACGATTTTATTAATTTGGAAGTGAAGAAAATTTTATTTTTGATTAAAGTTATTTTTATACTTATTATATAAGAGTTGGACGTAATAGAAAAAATACCCGAAAACATAAAAAGAATACTTTAAGAAAGCTTTTATATTAAGTTTAACAATATTAATTTAATATTTATTGAACTTTAATGTTGAAATGTTATACATAATCACAGGACTATTAAATGCTGGAAATCCTGTTATTAAAACAACCATATTTATTTAAAAAATAATAAAATAACAATTAAATTTATGTTAGTATTATAAGTGTATTATAGTTATTTCTTACTTATTATATATTTCATAGAAATTTTTACATGAATTAACAATTTCTATTCTTGGTAACAATAAAAGGAAGATAATAGAATTATTGTAAAAATGTAATTACTGTTAAATTGTCCTCTAAATAAAAGTAACTAAGCTCGATGATTCTTTACATTATTCTTAGTTTTAAACTTAAATCTATGTCCATGATATTTTTTTCTAATTTATTCTATATTTATAATTGCACACATGTTCTAATCTTATTTTGTATATTAATTTATTTCATTTAGAACTCATCCTATTCCATTTACTTCGCTACATTAAAAGTTGCTCAAAATTATTTTGCGTTTTAAGAAATGCAATGCCATCATCTTACACATTTGTGTTTATGATTATTAAACGCGCTTATGAATGCTAAACATGACTTTTCTAGTTACTTCACATATTTTTATAAATTAAAATGCAAATTTGTGAACATAAACTTTCTGTGTCATTAATCGTACATAAAAAAAACTGATTAAATATGCAAGGAGGGTCGCAATTTCTGCGCACGTGCGAGACTGATGATGGTAGATTATAAATAAAAGCTTAAGGTTAAAAATATCAAAAAATGTGTAGCACTTGCGTAGAGGGGTGGTAATAATGGTGTAAAAATTGATACTTTAAAGTCATTTGTGAGGTGAGTATTAATTAATATTATAATTTTTTGGTGTTTGTGTATATTTTTTACATTGTGTGGTACTTTCAGTGTTGTTTATGATGTTAATATTGGTGCTGTTCATTGGTCTGCAAAGTATTCTTTTCAACAATGCACAAATTGCAGAAGATTTACTTCAGAAACAAGCTCTGGGTTGCCATTTGCGTTTGTATACTTATCGTGTAGAACAGACTGATAGTAGTGGCAGAATATGTTGGGATAATGTTTCTGCAATGAGTTGCTGGGGAAGATGCGATTCTAGAGAGGTAATATTAAACATGAAATTAATTTTTGCATTACTAAACATAATATCAAATTCATGTAGAAAGAATGTACACAAAAGCAAGCTTATTACAGGAATTTGGTGTCATTAATACATAAGATCGATCTTATAGTATAATAAATAAAATATATTGTGTATTAGTCGTTTCATAATTATTACGTACTTTATGATAAAGATTGAAATTAAACTTCTGCACATATTTATACAGAAATTTATTGAGAACATATACATTTTTATTTCCCCGAATTTTTTTAAATATTTTGGGTTAGTATTCAAGACATGTATTTATAATTAATTATACAACTTCTCTTATAGCAATCTAAACTGAATTTTTTTCATATATATTTACGTTTAAAAGGCTTCTGAACATTTTGGCATACCTTAGGAAATATTGATGTATGTGTGTGTGTGTGTGTGTGTGCGGATACAAATTTTTGTCCACGATTTCGGGAACACCGATCAACCTATTTGAATAATTCAAAAAACATCCGATTCGTATTGATAAGGAGACGTACTGATTAGTTTTTGGCGAATATAGGTCTAGCCATTCTGACGATACGCGGCAAAAAGTGCCAAAAACTCAGTTTTTAATAGAACGGATCATCCGATTTTAGTAATTCAAAAAACATTTTACTTGTATTGACAAGATGAAAAACAGATTAAAATTTTAAGAAAGCAGGTCCAGCGGTTATGGACTCTGAATAAAAACAATTAAAAGTCATTTGGCGTTCAAAAATGCTTGCTGCGAATTATCAGATAATTTATAGAGATTTTAATAATGTGTACACATTTTGTGTAAATTTTTATGGGTTCCATACCAAGATTTTCAATTATGGTACGGGAAGTTCCAGCAATTTGACTTAAGACACGATGCCATGCACTAATTTAATTATTATCTCCTCGTAGATTCCTGATTGGCGATTTCCCTACAAATGCACGCGCCATCCAGTATGCATCCACGGCACCGGAGCAAAGCTGTCGCAATACTTCGCAACTGCGAACCAGGGGCTGATACCTCCGCTCGGAGATACGAATACTACAGCGCCGAGAGCTGCAGCTGTCACGCCTGCAAGAGCACCCATGAAATTAGCTGTGAGGGTCCGGCAGCCACCCATTCGAGACCCGTGGCCACCGAAGAGGAAGTTCAGGACCAGACCAAGACCAGGACTTCTGGTGTTTTGACATTGCTCAGCGGCGACGGAAATGATTACAAAGATGACGAATATACCCAATAAAACTGGATCTGACTTCATATTATTAAATGATAAATAATTTTTTCTTGTAATTTGAAATAAAGTGAAGTATAATATAATTCAACTATGTTTTATTTTATCATATCATGTCAGTACATGTTTTACACAAAATAGTAATAAAACCTATATAGACTTATAGTATCCAATTGATAGGATGTGCAAGTAGACCGCATAATGTTCTAATGCAAAGATTCTCGAAACAAAAAATTCTCAGACAGATTCTATTATTAGGCTAATTTGGAACTATGGGAATTGGCAACTATGGGAATCAGTTAACAAATCAAACGTGATGAAAACTGGAAGATGCCAAAATAAATGACTAGAAGAAATTTTGAATGTTCCAAAGTATGTACCGAATGGACATAATAAACTATGAAATAGGAACACGGGGTTTGTTCGGTTTTTCCTTACAAAAAATGCAATGAATTTGTTTTTGTTTTTCTCGAAATGTATTTATCATAGAATAACAAAAATTACGAAATCATAGAATATTACGAAAATTTCTTTTTTTTTCGCCGTCATTTTTTAACCAGGGGGCGCCAAAGGCGGCCTTGTAAAATCGATCTCTTTTGCGGTGCCACAGATACATCCGTTGCGCATCGCCTGAAACAAAAAAAAGAAACTACGTTGAAGAAGAAGTTTGAATCCAGTCTCCCTACCAAAATGAAAGAAAAAAAGCAAGAATGAAAAAAATGGCAGCTATTTAAAAAAAGTGTTAAAAAAGGCCTTTTTTGGGCCACTCAAACAATAGAGTGATAAAACAACGGTTTCAGATGATCATACATATAGAGATATATATATAATTATAACTTCGTCAAAAAATAGATATTGAGATGATTTTTTTTAAATAATTCTAAGGTTTTTAGCTTTCATAATATCGAAAAATCTAAAAATCGAAAAAAAAACCAAACAACCCCCTTAAGACAAATACAAAAGCCGCCTCGAGCATCATCCAAACTCACTATGAGAACTACGCTTCAACTAGTGTTGTGCAATAATGAAAAGAAAATTATGATACATGAACATAGGTCAATTTTCAAATTCTCTGACAATGTTCAATTTTCTTTAATCTTACAGTTTTACTTGTTGCCCATTTCAGGATCGGTTGAAAATTACTGTATAAAGAAAAAGTAGATCTCATTGCTCCTTAGTTTGTAACCAATTAGACTTTGAAGACGATCCAATATAGACTTTGTAGAAAAAGCTATATTATTCAGCAATGTGCATCATTTTTTAATAAACATATTTAATTTTAAATATACTTTATTAACTTAGACCGTTAAAGTTTTTAAAGCATAAATTTAATTTGTAATTAAAAGTTTCCGTATGGTTTCCCAGGTGTTTCCGTATGTTAGAAGAAAATATTAATTACCATGCCAAGCTTTGCAATAAAACCATAAACTTTTTATCATGTTTTATCTAAATATATTTATTTAACCTTACCCAACACTTCTAATGAGCCAAAGCAGCTTGATGCCTAAAAACTCTGCCTTAAATTGCCATATTCAAATAGTCCTACATCATCACTTAGGGTTTTCATTTATGTCAAAAGAGCAAGCTATGAAATCAGCTCAAACAAAATATCCAAATCATTTAAGTCAATGTAAAAAATAATCTGACATTCTCAACTCCGTGCATTTTTTTCAGGTTATAGTATTCATGGTTAGTTTATCACCAGAAGATGAACGTGAATTTGCAAACTTATCCCTGTGTCGAGCTGGGAGTAGAAGATGAAGCTCACGATGATATTTATGACTCGCAACCGAAGCCCAATAAACGGGACCTGTACCGAATGGACGCAAGTCGGCCCTGTGATTTTTCTTTTAAAAAAATACAAGGTAAAATGTAGTTGAAGTAGTTCCATTAGCCCTTAAAAACAAAAATTAAAATAAATTCCATTCTATTTTTTCGCAGCGCTCAACGTGTTCGAGCAGCACACAATCGAAGCAATGATTGCCCAACGTCCTCGTGCCTTTCGGGTCGGAAGCATACCTCGCCGAGGCCGGGAAAACAAATACCTAACCCGCTCCATCTGGCTCAATAACAATCGACTCACCAACCTCAGCTATTTGAAAAATTTTGTCGACAGTGTCCTGGTATACCCTGCTGCTTTGAGTTGGCTTGACTTCTCCTTCAACCGCATCCAGGATGTAGACGATTCGGTTGCCGAATTTCCGAACTTGAAAATTTTATATTTTCATGGAAATGATATAAAGACTTTGCGCAACATTTCGAAATTGAGAAGATTGGAGAAATTGCGTAATGTGACATTTCATGGCAACCCGATTGAAAGGACAATACCTCAATATAGGAATTTCGTAGTTCATCTTTTGCCGCAAATTCATAATTTGGATTTTATAACCGTCACGAAGTCCGAAAAAGAGTCGCCGGAACCAGCAGGTTTTAAGAGAATGTCAGAATAAAATTTAGGGTTTTTTATTTATTTTATATGCCATACTTTTTGAAAACAGTTACTTTTTGAATTACTTTTTATATCATCCGAGTTTTATGATAAATTAGATCGAATCAATTTTTTAGAAGATAATCAGTCATACATTTTATAAAGCAAATATTTATTGAAACAATGTGTAAGATATTAATAACAACATCCAATACAAGATAATATAGATTCTGTAAATTATTTATATTTTGTTAATGTGTAAACAGATATTAACAAATATTTTTTGATTAAAGAACAGCTGATAAATAGAATGTGTTTTGAAGTAATATTTGTTCGTAGTGCAGGGGTAAGAGCATTGGTCTTGCAACCACTTGGTTTTGAGCTCAACCCCATGCACCCCATACAACCGGATATCGGGCAGTACTAAGAAGGAGAACCCGCGCATTGCTCGTCTGGGATTTTGATGAAATTTAGCACAATGGTAGATTTTATGCCCAAACTGACCGTGGTAAAATATTAGAGGCCTATGAAAAGCGGTTTAATTATAAAAAGTAAAAATAAGGACCCAAATAGTATACCAAGGAAAAATTAACTTTTAGGCCACTATTGCAATATATTACAATGCTCTTTTCGAGTTTATAGAATAAAATTATGACAAACATCGGGTGGCCTTCTAAGATAGGTAGTTAGCAGTAAATACATCATAATTGATAATGAAAGAAAGAATTTTTCTTTGGTTTAGATCTCAAATTTAAGTCAAGAGAAGAAAACTTTCATGGGCGTTGCTGAATAATATAAAGCATAAATCAAAATTTTCTAAGTGCAGTCATTAGTCACAACTGTGATAGGTTAACTGCTGGTAACCTTTGACAATCAAGAACTAGTCTACATAATTACTGAATATACTCATAATGAGGACAGATCGCTATTAAAAAAAGTAGGGAAATTTTGAGTTCAATATTGTTAACATCCAGTTGTTGCTTTTTTCCTAGGTTAAAAACGCCAACCAGGAATTTAGGAGTGATGTGCTTTCAACACAAACTCTCTAGATTTTTTTTATTGTTTCAACAGCAATCAGATACACTATCTACATAAGCTCTAATACTTATGAGACAGACGCTATTATGAGAGGCAACCCATCGGTTTACCATTTTCCTATGTGTGGGGTTTATATTAGCTCTTACGCCTAATATTTATCCTCTAGAAAAATGATACAGATAAACTTGGTTCGCAATTGCGTAGACCTTGGCATTACATAACTAGGCTTACAATTAGTGTGATGTGGAATGTACACAAATTAATATCGAATTATTCACAATATTTACTAGCATACGTAACTGTACATACATTTGAGCAAACTACGCAAGACAGTCAATGAAAACGTGATCTATGTATTCATATTATAATATAACATATATATGTTTTGTTATTTAGTAACGGTACTGAGAGCGGTGCGTTCGCATTTGAAACCGCTCAAATTTTCAAATTAAATTTGGAAGAAATAATTTGAAAAATTTGTGATAGTTATACTATATAATGGTGCAGTGAAAATAATATAAAGTGGTTAACATGGCGCAATTGAAATCAATAGTGAAATAGACTTTTAGTACAGTACATTTATTACAACTTCATATTGAAGTCCAAAAACTCATTAGTTATGAACTAACTTATTATTGCGAAAATTGCTAATCTAATGGAAAACGTAATTTTTTTTAATTATTATTTTTATAACGTCATTTTATTAATTATTACAATCGATTTGAATTTTGCTGATGCTACATGAAACTAAAGGTACACAATACATGTTCAGCATAAGTTTTTATTTAACCCTTTCCACTCGCTAATTCCGGATTTAGTATGTATTTTACCGGCGGCATCCGAGTGAAAAGGGTTAATTTTTCCAAATTGACTTAAAAATAAACTACAACAAGTGGAGCATGACATCGTGCCTCAAGGCAAATTGCTGGAACTTCCCGTACCGAAAATATTTTTTTTAAATGTTTTAAAATTTTTGGAAAATTTTAAAAATTAGATTTTTGAAAATTTTGAAATTATGGAAAAAAAATGACTTTTTTGAAAAACTTGATTTTTCAATATTTTTGAATTTGAAATTCAATTTGAACTTTTTTCTAAGCAATCGCGCTCCATACCTGTTTTAGAAACGAAAAATCAAAGCGCGTAAGCGCCGCATCGCACTCTAACAGTGAAACTTGGGTTTGGAACCCATAGATACATCATCATAAATATACTCATTATTATACTCTTTATAAAAGAATACTTATAGAAAATTTTTAGTGTTTTTGCACAAAAAAGTTGCATGAAAATATAAAATAAATTACGAAGAAACGGCTCAGGCGGTCTTTACCAAAATTAACACAATTCTCAGCCAATATCTTTCGACAAGTTTTTAAATATTCAAAAACGGTTCAGGATTTTTGGCTAAAACTACAACGGAAAATTTTGCATTGTCTTGCTAAATACAAAGAAGTGGTTCGTCCGATCTTCTCACAAATCTTATCCTTATCGAGTTTCACCAAATCGATGCAGCCGTTTTTGAAAAATCGTCGACGAATTATCAAATTTCAACTAATTAATCACTTGAGTGAGTTTTTAAGGATTTTTGGACCCCCCTCCCCCTTGGTTATACATGGTGATATTCAAAATTACCCCCCTCTGTAAAATTTTTGATTTTTTTTGAAAATATATGATTTTTTTTTTTTAAAAAAGTAGTTAAAAATCAATACACGTGATATCTTACTATACCCCTCTCTCCACTACGTGATATTTTGTGATTTTTTGACAATCCCCCCCTTCCCCGAAAAACCTCACGTGATCAATGAACGCCCCCTCACATACTTTTACCAATTTTGGTGTTAAACGATTCAAAATGATTTGAAACTTGGAAAAAATATATTGTTATAAAATAACATAATCTTATCTTTGGACAAGTTAATAACCAGATTCCACATTTGTACAAAATCTTCAGTGTTCATCGATTTCGTATTTCAAAGTGGACGAGTCTGACTTGCACATCATTGGAATTTTTACACAAATTCTTCTAACGAATAAAATTTCCATATAATAAATAAACCTACTATTATCTCGCGTAACAGATCACAACAATATTTCAACATCGTATTTATTCCGTTCACCCACTCATGAAATATCAGAAATTCATTTCTCATGTCAATGTTATTCGAATTCAAATGAGTATCACTAAATATATACATAGTGAGCGGTGTTTTGTTTCGGTGTCTCAAAATTATTCAAAACTAACCGCCTAAAATGAAACATCCAAAGGTAAACCATAAATAATATAACATGCCATCGGTGCGACTGTTCCAAAAGTGAGATATCTCGTATACTTAGTTGAAAATTTTATCTAATCTTATCTGTAACAATAATTATGTTTGATATTAGTATATTTCGCAGTGCTATGCTAACTATCATATTTAGCAACAGAAAAAGTGATTCATATTGTTTCAATAAATACAGTTTGTGATCAGATGTTCAAGTGACAAGGTTTGTGCCAAGGAAACGTAGTAAGTAGATCATTATTTAATAAGTAACACCGGTGAATGTGGTACAAAAATTATCAGTGACCTAAATTGAAATTTCATAATTAATAGAACAATTTTTGAAGTTTATGTTGTCGCCAGAAAATAGCGTTAGTGTTATATTATCAAGTGTTTTGGTCAATTGTCAATTTTGGTAATTGGAAAAAGTGTGTGGGTTAGTGAGACAAAATTTGACCGACGTTATCTTAAAAACGGCTGTACCGGTTGCAAAAATTTAAATGCCATTTAATGAAGCCGCTTGATAAGGACTCGTATTTATTAGTTTTTTTTTGTGACGATCATCCTAGCAGTTATAAATATCAAGACAGTGCAAAATTTTTCGTCCATGTTTCAGCCAAAAATTTTGAAGGATTTAGGAAATTCAAAACTTCGACAGATTACAGTTATCATATTACAGGATTTGTGAATATGAATTTATAAGTATTTATAGAGTGCAGTATGTAAAAATATTATTATTGGTAATAAGATTTTTATAAAACATTAAGAACCTTTGAGTATTCATGGTTGAAGATGTCACCCACACAATATGATCACTGATTTTTCAGGGCTTTAATTTTATTACTGCATCCGTTGGCTATGGTAGCAGAATGTTTTTTTATTGAATGAATTACTTTAATTAATTGAATTACAGCAATCTTTACAAATGCTTTATTATTATTTATTTTTTAAATCATATGATGACCGATGTAGGAAGCACCTACATAAAAACAGAAAATTACAATTATAAATAATATTAACTATTCAGAAAAACTTAAGCAATAAAAACAAATTGTTTCAATTATAATTGTCTGGTTCAATTTTTAACACGTTAATTGCCACCATTTATATTCGAAAAAAAATTACATGTAGTTGAAAATGTATCAACAAAATTTTTTTTTTGAAAAAATTCCAGAAAAAACTGGTAATTATTAACTTCCGGCAAGTGTGTATGTATGTGTATGTGTGCGTATACAAATTTTCGTCGACGATTTCGGGAACACGGATCAACCGATTTGAAAAATCCAGATAACATTCGATTCGTATTGATAAAAAGACGTGCTGATTAGTTTTCGGCAAAGGCAGGTCTAGCCGTTCCAAAGATACGGGGCAAAAAGTGCCAAAAACCGTAACTCAGTTTTTAAGAGATCGGAGCGTCCGATTTTAATAATCCAAAAAACATTTTACTTGTATTGACAAGATGAAGAACTGATTAAATTTTTAGGAAGGCAGGTCCAGCGGTTATGGACTCTCAATAAAAATTAGTTAAAAAAATGTTATTTGGCGGTCATAAATACTTATTGGACATATGTAGATCAAATTATCAGATATTTTATAGAAATTTTAATAATGTGTACATATTTTGTGTAATTTTTTTTGAGTTCCGTACCAAGATTTTTGTTTACGGTACGGGAAGTTCCAGCAATTTGCCTTAAGGCACGATGCTATGCAGCCCACTAGTTTATGTCACACATTTATCATTGACATGGCCTTATATTCAAACATTTTTTCTTCTTTTACCAAATCATGTATGTCAGACATATATGTTTGATACGGCTCATGTAGAACTTCTTAGGGGACGCCCATTAAACAAGGGGTTTTCAAGGGGAGGGGGGGTTTAACAAAAAAAACGAAACTAGTGGGGTGGGTGGCATCGTGCCTTAAGGAAAATTGCTGGAACTTCCCGTACCGTAACGAAATGTTCGAGGAATACTGAATGTTTTCAAATAGATTATTATAAATATTGTAACATTGTCTAATTTTTATAAGAATTATATAAACTGAATTGCAAAGTTGAAATTATTTGTTTCAACAAAAAACTAAAAAAAAAAAAAAAAAAATTGAACAAAATTTTTTTTTTCCAAAATCAATTATTTTGTTAAGACAAGCAGAAAGTTTTTTAAATCATTCAAATCGGACGCTTAGTTCTCTCAAAAACTGCCATTTTTACATATTTAGCTCCGTATCTTCGAAATGGCTGGGCCTGCCTTTGCCAAAAACTAATAAACACTTCTCCCAATCATTACTAATTGAATGTTTTTTAGATCATTAAAATCGGATACTCCGTTCTCTCAAAAATTCGATTTCTATTTTCCGCACTCTTTGCTCCGAATCTCCGAAACGGCTGGACCTGCCTTTGCCAAAAACTAATCAGCTCTTTTCATTATCAATAGGAATCGAATGTTTTTTGAACCATTCAAATCGGTTGATCCGTGCGCCCTAAAACGTGACTGGAAATTTGTATCCACACATACATACACACACACACACACACATACACACACACACACACACACACACATCCATTTTTTCTGAGGTATGCCAAAATGTTCAGAAACCTTCAAAACGTCGAGAAATGTAAAAATTTTCAATTCCGATTTTCGGCCCATTACAATAACTTACCCTACGGGAAGTTAATAACACGTGGAGAAGGGAGGAGTATATTTTTTACCTGATTCTTTAAAAAAAATTCTAACATTTTCAAAAAGAATCCAAAAATTTACCATTTTTTCTCGTAACTAAAAATACCCGTGATGTTTGATGGGGGAGGGGGATAATTTTGAATATCACCAAGGAGGAGGGGGTCAAAAATTCTTAAAAAATCGATTACGTGATTAATGGACGTCCCCTTAGCTCAGACAAGTATGACTGACATGGCTATTAACGTGTTAATTCAACATTTTTTATAAATTCAAATTCTCAACTGGCATTTATTCGGAGTTGAAGAATGCTGTTAAGAAGTTAAAAGTAATAAAAAATTTAAGACCAAGCATTCTTCAGACAAACATTACAATATTTTAGAATTAGCATAGATAAACATTTCAAATTCAGATGCATCATATTACATTTCCGATATCAAAAATGCAAAAACTAGTTCTTAGAACAGGTTTATTTACCATTCAACCATTTTTTTACTAACATAGTTTGTTTGTCTATTCTGCATCTCAGTATAATATTGCGGTAATAAATATAACAATAAATTATTTATTATTGCTAAGCGATTAAATTAATTAATCATTACATAAATATCTCTAGGTCACGTGAGAACCGGCTACGTGTGAAAAGTGATTGTTCCATCAGAATGTATCGAGAGGCAATTGTTGTTGACAATGGATCAGAATCATGCAGGTAAAGCAAAACTTCGTATAATAACTGATATATGCGTCATACAAATTGCAAACATTATAATAGTCCGAGAGGCAACGACAATGAGTAATGATGGACTTATAGTATGCCTTATGCCTTTTTCGTATTGGACAAAATTTTTAGTTGTGGACGGTATACTTTTACATTTTTATATAAAACAGGATATTTTACATTTTATAATGTAATAATAGTTGTAAGTGGCATTTTGCCTTATGCAAGTTGCATGAACTTCCCGATACGTTTGTATAATTAATTTTAATCAATAACTAGTGGTACATGGCCGCGTACCTTAAGGCAATTTTTTTTTGAAAACTTTAATAAAATTAGATTTTTGAGAATTTTGACATTTTTGAAACAAATTGAATTTATTTTCATATATTGATTTTTTTTGAAAATTTTGAACTTTTTTTCAAAGCAATATAAACATTTTCATTTATAATTTTTCTGCGATTACTACGCAAATCTATATTTCCTCTTCGTAATATGATGAGGAGGGTGTTGTTGCAACAAAAGTTTGGTTTTTGCTCAGTCTGATATCAAGCAGTAGTAATGGTTAATATTTTCTCTTTGAAATATGATGAGGAGAATGTTGTCGCAACAAAAGTTTGGCTTTCGGTCAGCTTGATGTCAAGCAGTAGTAATGGTCAATAATTCCTTTTCGCAATATGATGAGGAGAGTGATGTTACAACAAAAGTTTGGCTTTTAATCAGCCTGATATCAAGCAGTAGTAATGGTCAATATTTCCTCTTCGTAATATGATGAGGAGAGTGTTAGAAAAACAAAAGTTTGGCTTTTGGCCAGCCTGATATCAAACAGTAGTAATGGTCAATATTTCCTCTTCGTAATATGATGAGGAGAGTGTCGTCACAACAAGAGTTTGGATTTTGGCCAGCCTGATATCAGGCAGTAGTAATGGTCAATATTTCAACTCGTTAATATAATAAAAAGAAGTGTCGTTACAACAAAAGTTTGGCTTTTAATCAGCCTGATATCAAGCAGTAGTAATGGTCAATATTTTCTCTTTGTAATATGATGAGGAGAGTGTCGTCACAACAAAAGTTTGGCTTTTGGTCAGCCTGATATCAAGCAGTAGTAATGGTCAATATTTCCTCTTCGTAATATGACGAGGAGAATGTTGTCACAACAAAAGTTTTGCTTTTAATCAGCCTGATATCAAGCAGTAGTAATGGTCAATATTTCAAATCGTTAATATGATAAAAAGGAGTGTCGTCACAACAAAAGTTTGGCTTTTAATCAGCCTGATATCAAGCAGTAGTAATGATTAATATTTCCTCTTCGTAATATGATGAGGAGAGTGTTGTTACAACAAAAGTTTGGTTTTTGGTCAGCCTGATATCAAGCAGTAGTATATCTATTAAATTACTAACTAAATTTTTCCTAAGTTCATGTATATTTCATACATATAGTGTTAGCATCGTGATGTGTTTATTTATTCATTCAATAAGATTATCAGCAATTCAAAAACAGCATGTCACAGTAGATTGTATCTTTCTGACATACCGTGACATTTTGACTTATACATTATCATTATACATTTAGCATCTATTGTGTGATTTTTATTCATCGTAACAATATGCATAATTAAGAGACACACTTGAAAAAAATTTCTTAGCCACATAATAACATGAAAGGAAACCACATTGTCTACGAGAACGTTTGCATTTAAATGCATAGTAAACCTAGTAGCCAAGGAGCAAGGGAGCAAGAAAAATTCTTGTCCTGATTACTTACCTTGTTATACTATTTTTATTAATTTCCTGCAGAGTAGGTTATAGTAATCGCAAAAAATCGAAAATAAATTTTTTTATAGGTTTCTGAACATTATGGCATACCTTAAAAAAATGTTTATACGTGTGTGTGTATTTATGTGTGTGTGTGTTATTGTGTGTGCGGCTTCAAATTTTTGTCGACTATTTCGTGAACACGAGTCAACCGATTTGAATAATTAAAAAAACGTTTGATTCGTATTGATAAGGAGACGTGCTGATTAGTTTTTGATAAAGGCAGGTCAAGCCGTTTTGAAGATACGGGGCAAAAAGTTCCAGAAATTGTAATTGATTTTTTGAGAGAACGAAGCGTCCAAAGGTATTTTTTAAAAGGTAGTTCTAGCGGAGATCCAATAAAAAAGTGAATAAAATGCCATTTGGCGGACAAAAATGATTATTAGACATATGCATATCAAATTATCACATATTTTATATATATTTTAATAATAATAACAAATTTTGTTCACTTTTGTATGGGTTCCAAATCAATGTTTTACGTTATACTGCGACGCGGCGCCCACGCGCTTCGATATTTTGTTTGTACGCAGCTAACGTGTCGCGATTACTTTGAAAACAAATTCAAGAGTTTCAAAATTTTTTTTCAAAATCCATTTTTTTCAGAAAACTTAAAAATATTAAAAATCGTTTTTTCACAGTTCTAAAAGAAAATTGAATCTTTTTTAAACATTTTAATTTTTGGTACAGGAAGTTCCAGCAATTTGCCTTAACATAGTTATATCACATAGTATCTTTAATATATTATATATTAATTTTATTATATCACATAATGTCTATAAATCCTATACCTGACTTCTACATTATTCTTTTTCTCTTCTAATTTCTATTCTAATTCTATTCTATATTTTTCTAAATTCTATTCTATATCAAATCATCTATTTATATATTAATAAATTTTAATCATATGACAATTCTATGCGTAAATTATTTTGTCTTTTTTAATTTTTTTTTCATAAAAGGCGAAACTTAGAGTATGGTTATGAGTACACATTTGTTTTTTAAATTATATTTTATTTAATATGGTATGTATTATTATGTATTAATTTAAGTTACGTTAATTTAAGTACATAACCTTGTATGTACAATTGTATAATTGTGTTGTATAAATATAAACATAAATAAATATAAATATATGCCAGAGACTCGAACCGAGTATCCTTTAGCTACGCGTCGGTCCTTCTACCGACTGAGCTATTCCCGCCACTTCTGACCTCATTTACATCAAAACTCACATTTCCTTTCTCCATTACTAATTTCACAATATGTTTATATTCAGATTCGGTCTGTCCGGTGATGAAATTCCGCGCATTTCCATACCTCTGTCGAGCGACAATCCAAATAGAACGGAAGCATTTAGCAAAACATCAAACGACGTGATTTCGCGAGGAATCATCACCGAGTGGGACACAATGGAGAAAATATGGAGTGACACGTTTTCCGAAAAGTTGCAAGTCGACACCAAAGAGCATCCGATACTGATGACGGAATCGGCCATATCCGAAAAGTCTAATCGAACGAAAATGACACAGGTAATTGGTAACGGACTAATAGTTCAGTAATATATAGAAAACACCTTTTTGGAAAACATCTTCTCACACTTTCCAAAATTTCAGCAATAGATCAGTTTTTATGAAGAATTCCAGCTTTCAAATCAACTTTTACGCTACGGCAGTGTTTTCCGCACTGCTGTACGGGCTTGCAAACAGCCCAGTTATTTAAATTTTCCAATTATTAAAATTTTCAAAGTTCTCCAATTATTATCAATAAAAATGTATTTCAAAATTTAAAATTACACATCTCAAAAATTACAATAACAAATTAGAATTTCTAATTATTTAACTGAATGAGATATTTTTTTTTTTAATTTCAATAATTATTACATTGGTTAAATAATTAACATCTAGCAATATTGATAAATAATAACAAAAATTTAAATAAATAAGAGTGCAAAGGATAGAATTTACATGAAAATAATATCCGTAATATGATGATTTAATATAAAATAGAAGCAAATAATAAGAGAAGAATAAAGCAAAGAGATAAATATTGAAGCAAAGTAGCAAAAACGTTCTAAACTTAACTACAGAATTTATAACTCAAATAACTAAAAAAAACAAACTAGTGGTGCATGGCATCGTGCCTTAAGGCAAATTGCTTGTACTTCCCGTACCAAAAATTATTTTTTTTAAACTGAAAAAATCAGATTTTTGTGAAATATTAATTTTTTGAAAAAATAATAACTTTTTTCGAAAAAAAACATTTTTGAAAAAAAATGTTTTTTTTTATTTTGAAATATTTTGCAAATTTTAAACTTCTTTTCAAAGCAATCGTACTGCTTATTTATCTGCATAGAGACCAAATATCGAAGCGCGTAAGCACCGCGTCGACGAAAGTTTCCTTTCGTTCCATCCTTTCTCTGTTCCTCTTTTGTTTCTTACACCCCGCTTCCACTCACTCTACCACACGTGTTGCGTAACCTTGATCAGTTTCTCTCGTTTATTAAAATTTTAGTATATTATTCTTTTACACAATTTTAGTGTTTAATAAATTTTAAATAATTATATTTTTCTGTTGTTTTTCCTGGTTTGTTATGTATATAATTTTCTTCATTTTATATATTTATATTTATTATCAACTTTTGTATTTCTGTTATGTTTTTTTAGATTACTGAATAATGACATAGATCAAGTGTCGAAACGTTTAATGGATTAAAAAAAAATCTATTTAATGTTTTTTTTTAAAGGCTTCAAAAGAAAATTCAAATATGAATCAACGTCGACAAAACTATTATCTAAAATGTTATACTTTTATTTAAATGCTCCTGAATGATTTATTCAGATTTATTCTTCATTTCTAGATAATGTTTGAGAAATTTTCAACGCCTGCAATGTTTTTGGCAACACCAGCAGTGCTGTCCCTGTATGCCTGTGGACGGACAACAGGCGTCGTCGTAGACATTGGACATGGGGTCTCTCACACCGTACCTATTTATCAAGGTAATTATTTTAAAAAATCCTTTTCAAATACAAATTAGACCTTGGACTTGTTTGCCACCTGGCCGTCCCAATTTATCCCGCCTATGGGGCAAAAATATTATAAATGATTGAAAAACAGCAAAGAAAAACTGATTTCTACAGTGATGAATTAGCGGAGATACGTGTTATTTGTTGTTAATTGGTTTGGTTTTCACAATATTATGGCTTAAGGTCACATTAGACCTTTGTGCACCGCCCTAGCCTAATACTTCCTCTACTTCGATTTATTAACTTATATTATTATATTTCCCAAAGGTTATGCTCTTCCTAAAGCTGCTCATCACTCACCTTGTGCAGGGATGGATCTCACAAATTATTTAATATCACTTTTAAGAGAACGTGGACACATTCTTACAACTCCCGATGATAGAAAAGTGGTCCATAGCATGAAAGAACAATTTTGTAGAATTGCTCTTAATTTTGAAGAAGAATTAAAGGGTCCCAAAACAGAAAATAAACATACGTTACCTGATGGAACTGTTATCACAATGACTGATGAATGTATAAGATGTCCAGAGGCTCTTTTTAAGACTTATTTGATAGATTCTACTGCCCAGGGTATTCATGAAGCAGTTTTTTCTTCTATTATGGCCTGCGATATGGATATCAGGAGGGATTTGTTTGCCAACATCATTTTAACAGGTAAGATAAAATATTGTCTAATGATGATGATTAGTTAAAATGTGGTCCTGAAAATGTGTATTATTTATTATATCAGGTGGTTCAACGTTGTTCGAGGGTTTTGTCCCCCGTCTCCAAAAGGAGTTAGACAAATTATCTCCAAGAAATGTCCAAGTTAAAATCAAGGCACCAGATGACAGGAAAAATACTGTCTGGGTCGGAGGTTCTATTCTTACATCTTTATCATTATTTGAGCAAATGTGGGTCACTCGTAAAGAATATGAAGAAATGGGTCCATCGGTAGTTCACGCCAAATGTTACTGTTAGAAAATAATAGTTAGAATTAATATTTAATCATTCCAGTCACCTGTTAAATCATTAGTTATAGCAATAATTAATAGTAGGTTTTAATACTATTAAGATTTTTATATAATATTTATTTATATATTCAAATGTTAAGCTTATATTATATTTATATGATCAGTTCTCAGTATCGTCGATGTATTTTTGTAAATTTAGTAAGATGACACAAAATAAATTAATATATTAAAAGAATATATACTTTTAATAAAATTGTATATAAAAATAATAATAAATATATGCGTAATATATTATAAATAAAGAGCTGAATTGTCTTACTAGAAATAAGTATATTTTACTACGGGCTTAGTAAATTTTAAATTAAAAAAATTCTCATTAAGTCCCGCATACTTTATAATAAAATTAATTAGTTAAAATTGTTTTATAATTTTTGACCTTAACAAATGAATTTGTTGTAATATTTGCAAAAAAATTATAAACATGAATTTATTTTATTATCGTTTTAGTGAATTTTAAATTTAAAAAAATTTCATTAAGTCTCACAAAACATTATAATTTTTTATTTTACGTGTACAAAACCTAAAATATTAAAATCTTGGATGAAATTTGAAACAGTTTCATGAATATCGAAACATATATTTTCAAATCATATATTTACTGGTAAAAAATGTTAAATTAAACAACCTCCATTACATAACTGTTCATATATTATTTGCATTATACATTATTTATATATAGACAATAATTACAAATTTTTTACATATTTTTTGAATATATATATATATGTATCTCACTTATTTACAATATTAATTTTTATAATTTTGTTACAATTTTTTTTATCAATATTTAATTTATGTGATAAAAGAATTTATAATTCCTTATATAAGATTTGTGATTATTATATATTATTTTTGTACAAAAAGATTAGTGATAATTTATTATACAGAATATTTAAAATTAAAAAGATATGCAATATGCAAGATCGACATGTAATGTCGATATTCAAAATATATTTCTCAACACTATGTTGATGTCAAAACCTTGCAGAAAGTGGCATTTTGCTCTTCTGCTTGGAGGAGGAAGGTTCATTTTAACATTTGCAAGTACAACCAAAATACAAATTTACTAAAAGCATTAATATTGTATATGTTGCAAAATAATTTTCAAAAGGATCTAAGGTAAGCAAACAAATTTTATTTAATATAAATGCATTTCAATAAAACATTTTTGGTATAATCATTCCGTTTCTCACCTGTACAATAAATAGTACATTGAGTAAGGCATATTGAGAGCATTGTATACTAATGTTAATACTTTTCCACATTTTAGCATTTATTTACAAAATCAATTTTAATATCCAATACCATAAACAATTTTCAATATGTACATTTCATCAATGTCACTAACACGTTAATCGCCACGATAATATCAGAGAAAAATTCTTATGAGCCAAGGTAATTTTAATAGAAAATTTAGTTAGACATGTACTATAAAATTTTTTTTCTTTGCCAAAATTCCTGGTGAAACACTATTTTTTTAAGTTACACATATATTACTGACATGGTCCTTTATTAATTATTTTATTATATTGAATTGTTTTTTTTTCACAAACCTTCTCTGACATAGCTCATGTAGAATTTTCTGGAATCAGATATATATGACTGACACGGTAATTAACGTGTTAATATCAATAATAATAAATCATTAACTACTAAAATATAATGATTCAGTACTTAGCGACTAAACATAAATTATATCTAGGCTCTTTCGTTTTGAGCCTAAAATATTTTTGCTAATTGGAAGCAATTTCTATTTGAGTAACATAATCAGAATATACAACCATATATATTTTTTGACAATTTTTTTTCTGAAAAAACTATAAATACATAATTGTTGTTCAGTTGTTCAGTTCACAATAAAATTGTTAGCAGATTGAAAAAAATATTAAGAAATTTAATTTTCTAAAAAATAAAAAAATATAAATATGTTGTCAGTCATAGCATACTGCTATGCAAAGAATTCATATATTTCTGAATCTTTATTTAAATTTCAATGATATTTCTGAAATTTTATTTTTGATAAAGGTTGCTCAAAATGCTACGTTTTTTTCTTATAATCATAAAAACATTGTTAATAAAAACTGTATAAATTGATAACGTGAGAGTACAAAATAATCGATTTTATTTTAATTAATTGTATCTAATATTTGTTTAAAAAATTTACATAACATAGGTTTTAAAAAAAATATTTTGTGAGACATTTATATATCTTTTACCTGTTATACCACCTTTAAAATTTTAGTACGAGAGGCCATGACACTCTGCGTCGTTTGTAGTACGAGAGGCCAGGACACCAAAGTATAAATTATATCATAGATAAATTGATTTATCGATATGTAATTGAATGAACATGTACGAACTATAAGTAGTGAAATGTATACAAATTATATTTATATATAGACGCCATTGTTAAAGTTTATTTCTTAAATCCGTGAACAAATTATATAAACAAAATTTAATATCTAAATTGCTGGAGTATTGTAGAATGTTGTAATTTGCTTGTACTAAAATAGTTTTATTTTTCCCCAAATTGTCGCAAATTAAAACGATTTTTTTTAACTAAGTATATTATTTGAAGTAGCACGTCTTAGGCTTAACTAAAAATGAAATATAAAAATAAAAATAATTGTCTTCTATAACAAATTTTTTAAAATAATTAGGATCATAAAAACTAAATAATATTATTTCTGTTCAATTATTATAATAATTTGATTATTTCATATCATTAACAACTTTGTTTCTGCTCCAACTAAGTTAGATTGAATTTGCAATTATTATTTTGTTTAATACTAGAATTTTGTTCTTGCTTCAAATTTAATGTTAAATCAAATTTTTATTAATAAATTTTAAAATTTTTAATAATAAAAACGTAATCGAGTAGTTGTGCATAATGTCTCAGTTTACAATTTCATACAAAATATATGTATGTAAAATCACAAAACCAAAAGCAAACTAGTAACAGTAACTTAAAGAATCAATCAAATAATGTTATATAGATAATTATACACCTATACTACTTGGACTGCACTTTATATATAAAAACTTTAAAAATATTAGTTATTAGATTCTTGCCAATGATCACAATTCAAATATTTATATTATCAAATGACCAAGTCGTTATATCAATTCTAGTTATTTATGTATTGGCACCGAGCTAGTGATGTCGTTGACTTGTGGATCCAATTTAGCTCACTTCCAAAGTGCAGTCCCAGAAATACAGATCTATATGAATGACTAGGCTTTGTCCTTTATCCTTTAATTAAGTACTACTCTGTTTCTAACTATCGGCAGATTCTATCAGAGTCGTCCCTGGCTGCGCAAAGTCCATGAGGTTGAGCCAGGAATAGTCTTCCGTTGGCACAAGCGCACAATTGGTAGACTTGGTGCCATCTGCCACCAGTTCGGTCATCTTCTTGTCTTCTGTGACTTGTTGGCTGAGATGGAGTTGCAGTTCTGATATTTGGTATTCGGACATCCGGAGATTCTAGACGAATCTAAAGGTAATGGAATTGATATAATAAATATTGGTTGTATCTCAGATTAATTGAAAGTGATCTATGATATAAATTTATATAAGTGGGATCTGGATTTTTGAACAAATAATTTGTTGAACTAATTATTCAAGCTCTTTAGTTAAGCTGATCGATTTATGGAAATTTGGAGACAAATTATTCGAATTAGTATTGTATTACCTTTCCTGCCACAGAATGTATGGCGAGATCACTAAGACTTTCAAATTTCAAATCGGAAGCCCTAGATTCAATTATTACTCCCTTTGGAGATCTTATTTCTATAGATCTGGTACTGGATTCCAGTCTGAAATTAATAAAAACTGAATTAATAAAATTAGACACTGGAATATAATATTTAATCATTTAACTACAACGTATATATTATTAACTTCTCGTAGGGTAAGTTAAAGTAATGGGCCGAAAATCCAAAATGAAAATTTTTGCAAATTTTCACGTTTTGAAGTTTTCTCAACATTTTGGCATACCTCAAAAAAAATTGATGTGTGTGTGTGTTTTGTACGTCCGCATTTTTTCGTTCACGTTTTCGGGCGTACGTATCAACCGACTTGAATGATCTAAAAAACATTCGATTCCTATTAATAGGAAGATGTGCTGATTAGTTTTTGGCAAGAATTTATTGCCAAATAGATGGCAAAAATTGCAGAATTGCAAAATTTTATTGCTCACGTACCAGGGTGCACCTGGCTAAGTAGTTTTGATTAGGTTTATTGCATCAATGTCACATTAAATTTGCTAGAGAAGCCCCATAGATCTATTCCGTATGACCAGATAGGAATTATTATCGTTTCATAAGTCAAAATTTTGTTTTCGAGTTCTAATTTTGAATAATGGCTGATAAGCCAATAAAATTCTTTATCTCTGGATTTGATAGTTATGATTTTTGTTGTAATGTAGTGTTCCCATGTTAGTCTGTTATATTAAATTTGAATATTTTTTATCATGTCACATATACGTCCAGATCATGCGGTCAAAAAGCGACCTAATAACAAAAATCTGATTATTCCGAGGCGTCGTCGCTGATGTTCTGTGCATGATATACTTTGTCCCTTCTTTTCCGCCCTTTCCACTCAACGACGCATGAAAAACGCCGGAAAACTCAGCGTAAAATACCTTTCGGTCAGTTCAGAATCGTCTTCATCTGCCAGAATTTGCTCACGGAGCAGAAAGCGGATATGTTAGGGTCGGTTTACATAGTAACAATGGGTTTACATCAGTAATAAAATTCATATCATTAATAATATGGATTTTTTAAATTTGTACTTCATAATTTATTGAAACTTTAGATATTTGAGAACGCAAACGTAAATATATTGGCCCCATTTTTGAACCATTTTTGTTCTAAAATGATTACATTACTTTTAATATTCACAAAGTATCTTTTTTTAAAAAAAAATCCATTTATATTAGAGTCAATAGTAAATATATAACGTTTAAGAGGCCTTTAGATATTTAGTTGGCCCCATTTGAGCAATATTTTGTTCTAAAATAAATACCTTATAAATAATTTAATAATTATTATTTTTTTAAATTTATTGATATTAGAGTCCATAAAAAATATATAACGTCTAAGAAACCAAATCTTCGGTAATATAAACGATAACATAGCGTTGTTATGGCAACGATTTCTTATTCTTCATTCTTGGTACTAAACTCTGTAAAAATACTATCTATTTGATGTATGTATGTGTATGTATGTGCGGATACAATTTTTTGTCCACGATTTCTACATCAGGATCAACAGAAACATTCGATTGCTATTGATGTGGAGAGGACGTTTAAATCTTTTAAAAATTTCAAATTATGATACGGAAAGTTCCAGCAATTTGGATTAAGGCACGTTGTCATCATCATTAGTTAATTTTTTTTCAATAGTATGAAAACGGATACTTCATATTCGAGGTGAATGCTATATCAAATTAATTATTTATACTTAAAGTGGTCAATGACGCTAAGTATCTGTACAACCAGACACATATTGTTATTTCTTACTTTATTATTAACTGAGAAATATTGAAATATTAAACAAAAATAGCTTTCAACAATATATATATATATATATATATATATATATATATCTTTGAAATCAACATATTTTCAACAATTTTTTTTTCATAATTTCGTATGAAAAAAGTGAAGTGAAGCTATTTCAATTTCTACAAGAAAACTTCCACTATTTATATAATTGTATAATTTTATGATCACATCAACATGCCGAAAATAAGTTATAGAAATCGCAAAAAAAATTAAAAAAATCGAAATTAAATATATATATATATATATATATATATATATACCATTATTATATATTTCATTATATATATTATGTATATTCATTATATATTTCATTATATATACCATGTATGATATAGATATGTACATTTGTTTGTGAATATGTATAAGTATGTATGTAAGGATCTACCACGTTTTTGGAAAAACAAAACAAATTATTTATATAAATATTTGACGTATGATATGAAACCATTATTAATCCATGGTATGAGTATGTGCACATTGATAATTGATAATTGATAATTGATACTCATACCATGGATTAATAATGGTTTCATATGCTATATTAGGATACAAAATTGTAAGTGTTTTATTACTATTATTATTATTATTGTTTTTCCATGAAATTTCCTTTCATATAATTTATTTAGTTTCAATTTTTAACTTCCCGTAGGGTAAGTTATAGTAATCGTCCAAGAATCGAAATCAAAAATTTTTACATTTCTCGACGTTTTGAAGGTTTCTGAACATTTTGGCATACTTCAGAAAAAATGGATGTGTGTGTGTGTGTGTGTGTGTGTGTGTGTGTGTTTTGTATGTCCGCTTTTTTTCGTCCACGTTTTCGGGCGCACGGATCAACCGATTTGAATGGTTTAAAAAACATTCGATTCCTATCGATAGGGAGATGTGCTGATTAGTTTTTGGCAAAGGCAGGTCCAGCCGTTACGGAGATATGGAGCAAAGAGTGCAAATAATAGAAAGCGAGTTTTTGAGAGAACGGATCAACCGATTTGAATGGTTTAAAAAACATTCGATTCCTATTGATAGGGAGATGTGCTGATTAGTTTTGGCAAAGGTAGGCCCAGAGGTTTCGGAGATACCGAGCTAAATTTAAAAAAAATGGCTGTTTTTGAGAGAACTAAGCGTCCGATTTAAATGATTCAAAGAACTTTCTGCTTTTTTCAACAAAACAATTGATTTTGGAAAAAAAATTTTTTGTTTCTAATTTTTTTTCAAAAATTTTTTTTTGTAATTTTGGACTAAAAATTCAAAAAAATCACCCAAGCTAAGCACAGTCTAAGCGCCAATCTGGTAGAAATGTTTACGCAAGTGCGTTTAGACTGTTTGTGTACTGGAGCACTTTTTCAATTTTGTGAAAATTATTGAAAAATGTGAAAATGCCGCCAAGCTGAGCACAGTATAAGTGAAAATGTCGCAAAGAATTATTTGCAAATGCGTTTAGACTGTGACTATGCGGGAGCACTTTTTCAATTTTGTGTAATTTGGCAACTATTTTTTTTTGGAATTTGATTCGAAATGAAATGACGATTGTTAATGTTCTGGAGATGATAAATTGATTTATTTATAATTAACTTTCCATAGGGTAAGTAATCGCAAAAAAATCGAAAATGAAAATTTTTATATATCTTCACGTTTCAGAGGTTTCTGAATATGTTGGCATACCTTGGAGAAAATTGATGTATGTGTGTGTGTGTGTGTGTGCGTCCATGTGTGTGTGTTCGGATACAAATTTTCGTCGACGATTTCGGGAACACGGATGAAGCAATTTGAATATTCAAAAAACATTCGATTCGTATTGATAAGGAGACGTGCTGATTAGTTTTTGTCAAAGGCAGGTCTAGCCATTCCGAAGATATGGGGCAAAAAGGGCCAAAAACGGTAACTCAGTTTTTAAGAGAACGGAGCGTCCGATTGGAATAATTCAAAAAACATTTTACTTGTATTAACAGGATGAAGATTTGATCAAATTTTCATGAAGATAGGTCTAGCGGTTTCGGAGATCTAGTAAAAAAAACTAAAAAAAATAACATTTGGCGGTCAACAATAATCACTAGACATTACACATATGCATATCAAATTATCAGATATTTTATTGAGATTTTAACAATAAGTATAAGTTTTGTTTACATTCCTATGGGTTCCGTACCAATGTTTTTCCGTTAGACAGCGACGCGGCGCTACGCGCTTTATATTTTGTCTCTATGCAGTTAAGGCAGTACGATTGCTTTGAAAAAAAAGTTCAGATCTTCCAAAATATGTCAAAATGAAGATAACATTTTTTCCAAAAAAAATTTTTACAAAAAAAATTGTTTAAAAATTTTTTTTAAAAAAAAATTTTTTTTTTCAAAAAAAGTAATTTTTTGTCCAATTTAAAATTTCTAAAAATCTTATTTTTTCGAAGTAAAATTTTTTCAAAAATGTTAATCGTTTTTAAAAAAATAATAATTTTTGGCACGGGAAGTTCCAGCAATTTGCCTTAAGGCACGATGCCTTAATTGCCTTAAGACAGAATTCCACTTACAGCTAGTTATAGTTAACTTGATTACCACTGAATGATTGCTAAGATGCTAGCCGAAACGTATGGATTTTAAATAAATAAATTTAAAAAAAAACTCATACTATTTTTATTGATGTTACGCCCGAATATTAAACTCAAATTAAACATATATATCAACATCAAATTCAAGACTATTCAAATATATATATATATATATATATATATATATATATATACATATATTGCCATATGATTTAGAAATGTAAGTAACATAATTTTCCTCATGTCAGTAAAACTGATGGATGATGCTATGTATTCGAAGTTGCACATTTATATTTATTTTTTGCAATATGTAATATAATATAATGCATTTTGAATGCCATATAATGTAGAGAGCAATTCTAATACATCAAAAATGTCTTTTGAAGACATAAGTGCACATTTTAAGTAAAACAACTATTTTGGAAAAACAATTTCATACTCTCACGGTATTTCAATTCACGTAAGCTTTTCATTATATCTACAGATAATAACTAATTTGTAATTTTCTTAAGTAAATGATATAGTTATAAACATTTTTGAACAAAAAAATTAATCAAAAAATTTCAAATTATTAAAACTGTTTTTGTCTGAACTTATTAACATCTCGTAGAGTAAGTTATTGTAATCGTCCAGAAATCGAAAATGAAACTTTTTGCATATCTTTACTGTTCAGAGCTTTCTGGTCATTTTGGCAAACCTAAAAAAATGGATGTGTGTTAGTATGTATGTATTTGTTCACATTTTTGGGCGCACGGATAAACCGATTTGATTGGCTCAAAAATTATTCGATTCTTCGATAGAGACATGTGCTGTGTTTAGTTTTTTGGCAAAGGCAATTACAGCCATTTCGGAGCAAAGAGTGCAGATAATAGAAATCGAGTTTCTGAGAGAATCCGATTTGCATAATTCAAAAAACATTCAATTTCGTAATGATGGGTAAAAGTGGTGGATAGATTTTGGCAAAGGCAGGTCTAGCCGTTTTGGAGATACGGACCTAAATATGCAAAAAATTGCAGTTTTTGAGAGAACTAAGCATCCGATTTAAACGATTCAAAAAACGGTTTGTATGTGTTGATGAAATGATTGCTTTTGGGGATTTTTTTTAAATTTCCATTTTTGAACTAAATCTTATTCTTCAAATATTTCATTTTGGTACGAAAAGTTCCAGTAATTTGCCTTAAGGTACAATGTCATACACCACCAGTTTACTGTTTGATTTCATTAAAAATAAGTTTTGTTATGCAAATTAGTAGAACAAAAAATAATAATTGATCAAAATATAAATAACTTTAAAAACAATTAATTATTCATTGTTTATGCATAATTCTCATATATGATGGTGTAAATATTTTAATAATAGTGAAGCGAAAGACGGCTACCGATTTTAAACAGCGTTTTTATCCATATGGTACATCTGGATACATTTGCCATCTTCAATTTTTTTTAAATGTTATTTGTACATTGAAAACCGGTGTATTCTAATTGGTCCAGACTAGGGCTAGTGGTAGTGGGTATAATTGTATGAATATAAATATTTGTAAGTTACAATAAATGGGAGACTAGCGAAAGTAACGAATGAAGAAGGTTGTAGAGTGAAGATCAATATATATCGTAAACTAAATAGTAGTTTTATTGACATATCATATGGTGAATCATAATGATCTTCTCCACTACTAAAAAAGGTTTTCAAATTCCTTAATTTACTAAAAAACTGGATTTTAAAACCGTCAAACCCTAGAGCAAAATGCTGCATAGAAATCGATTCATCTCATAATATCGAATATTATTCACATTATCAATACATTTTTCATCTTCTGATTTAGTAATATTGCAACTATCTCCTTTCCCCGGTGTGGATGCAGCCTCAGATCAATTTCAACGTCTATTTCCTTTCCGGTCCCGTGATGTATATGATAGTCAGACTGACTAATGCCGCGCGCCTTGCTTGCGCTTCTTTTCTTCGGGTATAATTTCTCAAACGGGCCCGGGCATTCCCTCATTAATAAAACAAAATATCGAAATATACCGAACGAAATAAACAGACACAATAATATTATACTGCAGTCCGAGTTCACAGATCGCGCACCGTGTAATACGAAATCTCAAAGTCGTTTTGCACTTTCCTACCGGAGCGATGCAGAGGCTGCACGTCACTCTTGGAAAAGTTCATTTCGCAGAAGGAAGATATATTTCTTTTGGGAGACGAAGACGAAGCTTTGCATTCGTCACGGAGATGTCGGATTATATTATATTACGAATGAATCGAGTTTGCGAGGTAATGATGCGTTGCTATGAAATAATTTAAGGATAATATGAAGGGGGAAAATGAATTTTAAACTTTTCCATGGAGTAAGTTGAAAGGGTCAACATTCAGTCTGCATTTAAACTTTGAAATAAAGACAAATTTTTACACTAGACTTGCCCGTAGGTAAGCGGTTAAGAGTAAAGGGACTTGATTCAGAGGTCCCGGGTTCAATACCCACGTCGAGCAGCAGTGACAACGGTACATGGTAATACAGAAAGCAATATTTTCCAAGTGAAAATAGACCTTAATCCAGTATTACTACAATACCCTAATTAGGATGACAACCTGAGGTTTGTCTTGTGATAGCGTTCAGTATATAAAAACTATATCTCAGATAGAGTAAGATCAATCAATGGATTGCCTACTAACCACAACAAACGTCTTAGCTTATAGAACACCTACTAGTTCTAATTGCTGTAAAAAACTACGTGTATAAAATTAAATTAACTGAAATTTCTTTACTCGCCGTAAACTAGGCAAAAATGCAACGGAAATGATTTACGTCACAAATACTGATGCGTCATTCGGTCAACGATGTCATTATTCGAAACGAGTTAATGTGATTGGTCCTACTATTTATAGCTACAGATATGTATATAGTAAGGTTTATACAAATACCGACATTTCAAAAAACCGGTTTTCAAATTCTAATCAGAAAACCGGTTTCGAATTTCATATAGAATTTTTTTTTCGAATATTCTGCAAGTCAAATAAAAAAAATATTATTTAATGATTAATTTTATTAGTAGTTATTTTTTTATTCAAATTATTAGAATAGAAAAATAATAGTTGACCAGGATTAAAGAAGTTTAAAAATTGTTCCTTGTTAATGCATAATTTTTACATATAAGGATGCAAATATTTTTATGATAATGAAACGAGTTATTTTGCAGAAAATTCGAATAAAACAAATTTAATACAGTTTTAAAATTAGGAAAAAAAATTAATAAAATCAAAAATGAATTTATTAGATACCTATTACTGCTTACTTATTAAAGTCAGTAAAAAAAAAACAAGCAGTAGACCGAATATTTTCTATTTCGGGCAATTTTAATACAAGTTTAAATATTCAATTTACTTTTTGTTTAATGAAATATGATTTTTTTCAATAATGAACGTATAAAATAAACTATAAAAACAGCTGTCTAACTTAATTTATACAATTCACAATACATAATTTTTCTTGGAATTAGATGGGATTGATATGTTTCTAACTTTTATAGAGCTGATATGATTCCGGGAACGAAAGCTGGAACTATTTAGTTTGTCATTTCTCATTCGTATATTAAAAACTGATTTTTTTTTATAAAAAGTTGGTTTTCAAATTTCATAATTTTTGCCAAAAACCCGATAAACCCTAGTATATAGGTTGCTATTCAGTGGAAAAAGAAGAATATGTCTCCAACATTGATTGGTTTTATAGACGATAAACTATATTTACCAAAGAATAATTATCCATTTCAATCAACTACAATTACCAGGTATAGCACCAATATTGATGCAGCTTTCTAAAAAAAATAGACGATTTTCTGACTGAACTTATGTCTTTCGTTTCAGTTATCTTAAACCATTCATATCATATTTGGAGTACGATAATAAATGATTTAAAATATTAGTATAGTGACTGACATTAATAAATGTATGCATTACTAATGTGACCATATTGCCAATAAACATCATTTTAAATTCTTACACAATGAATTTATTTACTAATGTGACCATATTGCCAATAAACGAAATTTTAAATTTTTACACATTGAATTTATTTTCAACTTGTCACCTCCTACAATAGCAAAAATGTTTTACTTCAATCGCGTCAATTTTTTTTATCTAAATAATTTCTCATATAGTTAGATAAATAAATGATATATATTAGTACCTTAAATTATGTCCAGGTTCAGATTTCACGGCAGGAGTTTGTATTGAACCTGTAAAATGTGCACCACCTTCGCCAGCGGCGTGCAACGTTTCGGATCCCACTATTACTTCTTTAGGATTTGCAGAAAATAAAGGCACGCCTCTGTGATCCATCACTATAAACGAGGAAGCCCAAACCTCTAATTTGTCGTCACCTAAATAATGAAAATATAAAAAATTAAGATAATATGATTGCTAATAGCTTTTTATATATGCAAACCAGCAAATATTTGTTTTATTATCAGTTGATGTAATCATTATGAGTTTGAATAAATATTACCACATATGGACACAATAAATATTTATTCAACATTGCGCCTCTGAAATAAAAACTAAATTACCTTTCCAAATATCAAATATTATCATTAATTTCTCTATTTTATAATTCCGGCATCATTATTTTCGAGTCATGATGTGTCATTCAGAACTATGATATTTTATTTTAGTAATTTAATACCCTTTAGCAGAACATATGAAAACTGTTCTGATACTAGTTTTGTTGTTTGAATCATTAGTAGCTGAATTATATTATTTCTATCGTATATGTTTACTGCAAACAATATCGGAAAATTTGCATTTATATGGTAACTTTCAGCCAGTGGTATGAAAAATACATTATCTGTTATAATAATCATAAAAATATTATAAATGAATAAATAAAGTCTGATATATTCAAAATACTAATGAGTATTAAAATATAATTATTTTGATCATTTTATATAACGGTTCATAACGGGGTACCACATTTGTTTCCAATTTCAATTCCCCAATACTAAATAATTTCGATTTATTGTTTTCTATTATTTGTATTATTAATCTCTTCAATTTATAAATTATTGTTCATGTCAAACGTATTAAACAAGATATACCTACCGTATATTATTTGCACTTGAAAACTACAATAAATTGCTGAATTTAATAATCGGTATACGGTTTTGCAAATACATGGGTATCAATATGATTAATGTTACGCTTATGATGTATGCGCATCATTTGCTATCATTAAATTGCAAATTACTGGTGCAAAATATTAATATCTTATTCGGATTCATACACTAATTTATTGTTGGTAATCGATTTAGCACTAGAAAACGTAATAATTTAGAAATAGAATTAATTTATTAACTTCCCGTAGGACTTTAACACTTTAATTGTAATATTATGTTTATTTTAAATTAACTACAAATTGTATTTGTATTTACAATATTCTCAAACTTTAATCTATTGTATTGATTGATTTTATTATATGATAACTAGCAAACCCGACGAACTCCGTTTTTCCACCAGATGGTTTCGTGAGAAAGATGAAGAAATTTTTTGTTTGTTTTATATTTGAAAAATAAAAATTTGATTTCATTACAACAACAGTAATGAATTTTTTTTGATTACAAAAATGAAATGATTTTTAGTTGAACTTCTCTATCCGTTTCATTTAAGTGCTCTTTGGTGAACCACATTTTTTGTTTTTTGGTCTGACGTTAACACAAACAAAGCGGATGGTTTTCCCAACTGGTGAACAGGCAACGTATAACTTCCCATGTGAAAAACAATGATTCTCTAAATAATCTATTTGAAATTTATCCTGCAAACACTAAGCGATTGGCCTTGCGATTTGTTATTGTAAACGCAAGGCGAACTGAAAATTGCAATCGTTTGAAGACCAGTCGGAATCATTGGTATGTCACCAAATCGCCAGCAATTTTTGATTGAATGGTGAAATTCAGTGCGTGTACATCATTATTCTTTGCGGCAAGAATTTCTCGTTGACTTAACCAAGCATAATTCTGATAATTCTCACTAATGTCATTACTCGAATTTTTAATTACGGTGCGTGAAGTTCCAGCAATTTGCATTAAGGCACGATGCCATGCGCCACTAATTTTCTTAGCTATAAACTTTGCGGGGCCCGAGACTTTTCCATCGAATGCAAAATTGTCGGTTCGTGCGTTCTGGAGTCAGGAAGGAAAACCCGACATATTTTTATATATATATGTAGATTTTTGATTGATTTTGTTTTGTTTTTATATCATAAATCGGATGCGTTGATTTGGCATGAACATACTCCCGGCTTTGAAAAATAGATTCGCATTACAACGTTTCACATTAAAAACACATTTTTACATTTTACATTTTTACATTATAAACACTTCTACATAAAATTAAAGCAATAAATAGAATACAATTAAACTTTGAAAATTTTGCAAATACAAATGCAATTTGTAGTTAGTTTAAAATAAACACATATTACAATTAAAGTGTTTTACAAATCTATGGTTCTTCAAAAAATCAATCAAACCAAACAAACAGTATATTCCAAGGAGAATATACTCGAATTCCTCTTCCACCCGTCCATTACCTACCTAAGTACATTCTGTTCTTCAGCATCCCGTTGGCGTCTCGGGTGTTGATGGTAAAGTTTGTCGTCGATTCGACCGTGAGCGGCTGTCCCGGCTTCGATCTGATCGAAGACGCCGTGAGCGGTCCCATGACGTACGCTTTGCCTGTCAAATGCAATCCTCCTGGCACCACCCGCAAGTTTCCCAGCCCTGCCTGGGAAAGGAAAGAATTTGTTTTGTTTTATAACTTACTTACTTACATGTTACAAAGACTATAAGGAATTTAAAGTGAGTGGCATTAGACGAAATTTAGATACTACGTGTATAGGCAGATTGTAGATGAATGAAATAATATGGTAAATCTACTTATTATCAACTTTCCATAGGGTAAGTTGGTAAGTTATAGTAAGGGGGCGACCATTAATCACGTGACCGATTTTTTTAGAAATTTTTTGACCCCCCTTTGTGAAATGTTTTCTTTTATTTTAATTACAATATCTGTTACAACTGCTAAATAATATAACATCTAGTAACATAAGTGGATAGTGAATAGTAAATTGAATAGTAACAAAAATATAAATAAAATAGAGTACAAAATAAAGGATAGTATTTTCATTAAAATGATATCCGTATTATGAGGATTTAACATATAATAAAAGCAAATAATGATAATAATACAATTAATAAATAAAATAAATAAAATTTGTGAATAATCAAAATAATACTAGGAAAACAATTAAGTAGAATAAAAACAGTAAGTAATAAATAATGATAAATATAACTGAATAACAATATTAGAAATAATATAATAATAATAATAATAATAATAATAATAATAATAATATTTAAATTTTAATGTGATATTTAAAATTTACCCCCCCCCCCTTATCTCACCAAACATCACGTGTATTTTTAGTTAGGAGAAAAAATAGTGAAATTTTTAATTTTTTTGAAATGTTTTTTTTTAAATTCAGGTAAAAATAAATATACGTTATATCTTACTAGACCCCCTCCCTCTTCGGCGTGATATTTCGTGATTTGTGGTCAAATCTTTCCTTCCCCTAAAACTTCACCTGACTAATAGACACCCCCTAATTGAAAAAAAAAATCGAAAATGAAAATTTTTGCATATCTACGTTCCAGAGGTCTCTGAACATTTTGGCATTCCTTAGAGAAAATTTATGTATGTGTGTGTTTTGTGTGGATACAATTTTTTGTCCACGTTTTCGGAAGCATTGATCAAGCAAGTTGAATAATTCAAAAAACTTTCCATTTCTGTTTATAAGGAAACATGCTGATTAGTTTTTGACAAAAGTCGGTACAGATGTTTAGGAGATACGGAGCAAAGAATGCAGAAAATAGAAATGAAGTTTTTGAGAGAACAGACCATCCGATTTGAATTATTCAGAAAAGATGCAATTTAGTTTTTGTCAAAGACAGCTCCAGCCATTTCGGAGATACGGAGCTAAAGATACGGAGCATCCGATTTGAATAATTCAAAAAATATTCTATTCTCATTGATGGAGAGATGTGATGACTAGTTTCTGGCAAAGATCGGTTCAGCCGTTTTTGAGATACGGAGCAACGAGTGCAATAAAGCAGTTTTTGAGTTTTTTCGGATAAGAATGAATTAAAAAACATTTAATTAGTATTGACGAGAAGATGTGCTGATTAGTTTTTTTTACAAAGGCAGTTCCAGCCGTTTTGGAAATACGGAGCAAATAATGAGAAGTTACCAATTATTGAGAGAACGGATTATCTGATTAGAATTATCTAAAATATATGTTGCTTGTGTGTACAGAAGAAATAGTTAATTTTTGGGAATGCAAAAAAACACTTTATTTTTCTAAGTAATTGTGTCATTATTTTCTACTAAGATTTTAGAAATATTATTAAACGTTACGTTCTGAATTTTTAAACAGAAATATCTAAATTCAATTACAATATGTTTATATGCTATAGTCTGAGTAAACCTCTACTATTTACTTTAATTTTCTAAGAGTTTTGGGACATCCTGTATATAATTATAGGAGAGCAAGAGAATTGTTAATGCCTAAATAATAAAATATACCTAATCCGTAAGTTTTGAAAATAATTATGTTCCATTATTGTTCAATAGTTCTAAAATGAATACATAATAATTAAACACTAAAAAAAAACTTTAATTTTTTTGTTGAAAACACCATAGCAAAGAAAACTGATCTGAAGTGTAGAATAATTTTTAGCTTCTTGAAAGATAAACGCCTCCTTTATATTTTGCCAAAAAAATTTTATATTTTTGCCAAAAAATCTGTTAGGTCGATTTAATGTCCCTTTTTTCGAAATAAACAAATAAAATTTTTCCTACTTTACCCTATTATAGTTCTATTAAATATATCATCTTTTGAAAACTGAAAACGTCATTCATTTCCAGTCATATGAATATTTTGGGCCTTAAACCAACTCCAAAATTGGCAATAATTCTTGATCGAGGAAATATATGAATATGAAACAATTCTCATTCTATAATAATGATACCTATTAAACTTTTAATTGCCAATGTCGATTTTATACCAGCTATTATATATGCCGTTATTAATATTTTGGTATAAATGGCAGATCATAAAATCTATATAAACGCATGTTTAAGGGCGAACATTTACCGTTTCATTTGCACGTTTATCTATATAAATTGTGGAAAATGATGATATATATGTGAATTTGTGTATTTAGGAGGTTGTGATGCGCAGCATAAATTTAACTCTATTTTGTATCGTAGCCAATAACGAAAACTTCATTTTAGGTGTAACAATAACATATCAGAATTTTTTTCCCCTAATTTTTTTAAAAAATCAAGGTACAATGAACTGGAAAAAACTCATTACTACTCATATAAAAAGATGGAACTTCCAAAAGAATTTCAATATTATGTTTGCTTTTGTATTATATACGTTCATTCTAATTTAATAGGCTTTGCTAAAATAAATTCTATATACCCATCATAAAGTGTACTTTTGACATATTATAATTATCTATAGCAATATGAATATATTTTGATAATACTGGGAGAATGAGTATGATAATATAATAAGGATAATTATTTATTTGCTTTTCTACATTAATTTTTTTATTAAATTATTTTCATTTTTCTTTATTAGAAATTCTGTATGCTAGTCTTGTTATGGCAATAATCAATTTATAATTATAGTAATTAGGTTTTGTTTATTACTTTGTGTTAGTAATGAAATCCAAATTAAACTAGTGGTGTATGGCATCGTGCCTTAAGGCAAATTGCTGGAACTTCCCGTATCGTAACGAAATGTTAGAGGAATTTTAAATGTTTCCAAATAGATTAGTATAAATATTGTAACATTGTCTAATATTTATATGAATTATATAAACTGAATTGCAATGTTAAAATTATTTGTTTAAATTATATAAGTGAGCTTAAGAACTTTAGCTAGAATTAAAATCAAAATCTGAATTATTTTCGATATACAAAAAAAAAATTTTTTTAATTTTTTTTTTCTAAAAGCAATTATTTTGTTAAAACAAGCAAAACATTATTTGAATCATTCAAATCGTCAGCTTAGTTTTCTCAAAAACTGCCATTTTTTGAACATTTAGCTCTGTATCTTTGAAATGGCTGGACCTGCCTTTGCAAAAAACTAATCACCTCTTTTCCCAATCATTACAAATTGAACGTTTTTTGGATCATTCAAATCGGATACTCCGGTCTTTCAAAAAATCGGTTTCTATTTTCTGCACTCTTTGTTTCGTATCTCCGAAACGGCTGAACCTGCTTTGGCCAAAAACTAATCAGCACATCTCTCTATCAATTGGAACCGAATATTTTTTGAACCATTCAAATCGGTTGATTCGTTCGCCTGAAAACGTTGACGAAATATTGTATCCATACATACATACACACACACATTCATTTTTTCTGAGCTATGCCAAAATGTTCAAAAACCTTCAAAACGTGGAGAAAGGCAAAAATTTTCATTTTCAATTTTCGACCCATTACTAAAACCTACTGGCAGTTAATTAGGGTTAATTAGGAGATTTTGCAAACATTTTCCGAAATGTGTATATAATCGACTTAATCAATAATGAGTGAAATTTAGTAACTTTACAAATTGTTATAATAGAATTTGGTATATCTGCGGCTTAAGTTTCTAAGTTTAAAAACTACAAAAAAAAATTGGGAGGTCTGTAATTCTTTAGGGTGGTCATTTTTACCATGAGCTTTATCATAATATAAAGTATGATCAAAATCGCCACAAAAGTTCAATGACTAATCATAATCTGTACCAAAAACTAATTAGCAAGAATCTCAATAGTTATCTTTCGAACGCTTTCCACATTTTCGAAATTGTTTCAGTTTTTTTTGCAAAATTTGTTGCACTTTTTTGTAATTTCTAAATAAATGATTTGGCCAGCAGATTTTCTGGTGAAAACATAAGCTTCTGCTTGGAAAAGCAAAATAAATGGAGTAATAGGTACAATATCCATTTATGATTATTATTTTTCTACTCACCGAAGAAAATTCCATAACCTTCAGCATCCACAGCGTAAGAGCCAAATTCACTATCATCATGATCATCAATCCGAGAACTAGAAGAAACAGACATCTCTTCCGAAGTCTTGAAGATGCAATTTTGAAATGTTTTGGACATTGGTCAGTTTGTGTGTCACCATCACCGATAGACGCAGAACTTGCGTGCTGATTGGCACTTCTACTGCCTTCTGGCATTTTTAGTTATTTTTGGTAACTCATGAAGAATAACGATAAATGTTGGTTTTTAATATCAGAAGTACATTGGATGACTGGATTTGATCTTCATCCTGAAAGAAGAGAAAATATCATTTAGTACGCAGGATTTAGATACAGTTATTATGATCAATTCTAATTCCAATGTAGGATTGAAGTTTTTAAGTAACTGTTTCAACTAAATATTTTTCACTACTGGGTGTATTATTAAATTGAACTAAGAAGAGTTCTGCTGATTTAACTGATTGTTCGACATGGACGTAATTCTATTTAATCTAAAACATATGTTTCCGATATTTATAATTAGGCTGCACCGCGGTGGTTTGCTGAGAATTAAATAACACATGCGTTACAGGAGGTCTAAAAATAATCTTGTTTATAAAATATCTGTTAAGTAAGAGTGCATTCACACACAAATATATAAAGCACACAACTACTGGTGAATGGCATTGTGCATTAAGGCAAATTGCTGGGACTTCCCGTACCAAAAGCTAAGTTATTAAATAAAACGTTGCAAAACTTTGAAAAAATTAGATTTTTGAGAAATTTTAAAATTTTAGAAAATATTTGATTTTTTTGAAGAATTGGATTTTTTTATATATTGATTTTTTTGCATTTTGATTTTTTTGAAAATCTATAACATTTTTTTAAGCATTCGCGTTGCATAGCTGATTTGGAGTCCAAATATCAAAGCGCCGCTTAGTCGTCTAACGTAAAACATTGGTACGGAACCCATTTATAAAATATCTGATAATACGACATACGACATACGATATCTAATGTTCATTTTTGATCGCCAAATGACATTATTATTATTAGAAATCGAATGTGTTTTGAATTATACAAATAGATTGATCCGTGTTAGAGAAATCGTCGACAAAAATTTGTATCCGCACACACACGCACACTCGCACACACACATACATCCTTTTTTTCTAAGGTATGCCAAAATGTTCAGAAACCTCTGAAACGTAAAGATACATAAAAATTTTCATTTTCGATTTTTTTGCGATTACTATAACTTACCCTGCGGGAAGTTAATAAAATATTTTAAAATCTTAATAACATTGTATTTTGAAAACTCTTATTTCCTCTTACAAAGTTCAATTATACATTACTGTTCAATTAATAATTTTCATATCTCACTAAAAATAATATATTCGAGTATGAAATTTAATATGGGTAAGATACAGTTAATTAACTGTAATGGCACTTCAATAATTCATGCATGTATCAGCAAAACTTGTGCTGCTTCAATATTTTGTATTTGAAATAAGAAGAAAGAAGAAGAAGCTTAATTATTAATAAATAATTTTAGCAGAAACTTAAATGAATAATTACTATGCAGAATAGCTTTTTTATTATTAAGTAGATCTTCTTAAACTAATAAAATTTGAAACCATATTATATTGCTTGAGACCATCGTGGTGTAATGGTTAAAAAACTGGGCAAAAAAACTAACAACGAAAGGAAATACTTTTGTAATCTCGTGATACATTTTATCTCATTATACATTTTTTCCTTCTACCTTCAAATATTGTTGTTAAAAAATTCTCTACTACTTGTATTCGAGATGTTGGTGGTGGACCTTTTTTTCCGCGGACCTTTAAGCCCCATATATAGTCTGCCCATTAAAGAAGAATAGTTGACCACTGAGTTGCCCTCTGGTGTAATATAGTAATAAAATCCATATATCTAAAATGCGTTTATTATTTACAATTAGTCTATCGCATACAAATTTCTGCCCCTTGTACGAATTTTTCAATTGCACACATCGATTAATTTTCATTTTATTAGTCAATTTTCCGGTCGGACGGTTCCTAGGAAATATCAATTTTTTCCGCGGCTTTTTGTGCCTCTTCCGCTATTTGCGCTGCAACTGATAGCATATTTTATTAATAATTAATTCGATTGTCACGCCTGGTTTCGAGCATCATGAACAGAGCATATTAAAAATAAAAATAGAATAAAAAATAGTCGGATTTATGAATTCATTATGTATTTTAGGATTTATGAAATCGAGAATTAAAAATGCTTTATGAGCGGCGGATTCCTATGATAATTATACTACACACTTGCATGCAAAATACTTCTTCATTTAATGCATCCTAAATGTATTATCATAGAGAATTAAAACTAGTGGTGTATGGTGCCTTAAGGCAAAGTGCTGGAACTTCCTGTACGAGAAATATTAAAAGTTTTTAAATATATTATTATAAATAATCTAACTATCATTATACTTATTTTATAAAAAGTAAATAAAAAAACTTTATCAATCGGAATTAGAATGAAGAACATTGTCTAATATTTATAAGTATTATATAAACTAAATTGCAAAGGTAAAATTATTTATTTAAAATATATAAGTGATGTATAGAACTTTAGTTAGAATTAAAATTAAAATCCGAATTAGTTTTCAATAATTAAAAACATGTTTTTTTGAAAATTAAAAAAAATAAAAATAAAAAAAATTCGTTCCTCAAAAGCAAACGTTTCGTCAATACAAGCAGAAAGTTTTTTAAATCCTTCAAATCGGATGATCCGTACGCCCGGAACCGTCGACGAAGAATTGTCTCCACACATACACACACATATATATTTTCTGAGGCAAGCTAAATTGTTCAAAATCCTTGAAAACGTGAATAAATGCAAAAAAATTCATTTTCGATTTTTGGCCCATTACTGTAACCTACCTTACATGAAGTTAATAAAGATTCTGTAAATTTTCTAAAGTCAACATTTGTTCTTTATTATAACATGATTTGTATCAAAAGTGTATTTAAACGTTATTAATAAATAATTAATTAAGAGTTAATTCTAGAAAATATTGCAAGTTTTTGCACCTCGACTCAGGCTAAATGCCACTTGGACCTAGTTAACTGTGTAAAATGTATGTGTGTTTGTATGGATGCATGTAGTATGTATGTATGTTGTTGGATACAAATTTTCGTCCGCGATTTTGAGAGCATGGATCAACCGATTTGAATGATTAAAAAAAATTCAATTTTGATTTTTGTCGATCTTCACGTTTGAAAACCTTCTGAGCATTTGCCATACCTTAGAAAAAAATGGATGTGTGTATGTGTATGGATGTATGTAGTGTGTATGTATGTATGTTCGGATACAAATTTTCGGTCACGATTTGGGAGCACGGATCAACCGATTGGAATGATTTGAAAAACATTCAATTTTTCACGTTTCAAAGTCTTCGGAACATTTTGCTATACCGTAAAAAAATGAATGTGTATGTGTGTATGGATGTACTTAGTATGTATGTATGTACGTTTGGATACAATTTGTTGTCCACGATTTCGAGAGCATGGATTAACCGTTTTGAATGATTCGAAAAACATTCGATTTTGATTTTTGTCAATCTTCACGTTTCAAAGCCTTCTGAACATTCTGATATACTGTAGATACGATGAATGTGTGTGTGTAGTATGTATGTATGTATGTTCGGATACAAATTTTCTGCTACGATTTTGAGAGCACGGATAAACCGATTTCAATGATTTGATTCTGATTTTTGTAGATCTTCACGTTTCAAAGCCTTCTGAACATTTTGGTATACCTTAATAAAAATGAATGCATGTGTGTGTGTTTGGATGTATGTATGTTCGGATACAAATTTTCGTCCACGATTTCGAGAGCTTGGATCAACTGTTTTAAATGTAAGAAAAACATCAGATTTTGATGGTAGACGTGCTAATTAGTTTTTGGCAAAAGAAGGCTCAGTCTAGGAATGGTCTAGTGATAAAACTGTAGTTCAACAATCAGTAGTTCCAATTAACCAGCTTAAAAACAATTCTTTTGATATCATTCTAAATTTCAAATATGAGTGAGAATAGCCCTTTGAGGACATTGCTGTTCAATAGTAGAAACATCTAAAATCCTTTTTACTGTAATGTTCAATGTAGTAAAAAAATGCCATAACTAGAAAAATGCTGATGTTTTTACCTGATTTTGCCTTTGTTTATATCATAGAAAGTAAAACTGTATCAAAACAGTACCAGAAATTTTATTGCGAAAAAATGTTAAATTACGGTACAAAAAGTACCAGTAATTTGCCTTAAGGCACGATGCCATACAACACTAGTTTGTATTTGTATTAAATTCATAAATTCATTTACTATTAATCTCGAGACAATTACCATATTTTTTAATTGAGAGCGCATTAACAACATTATTCAATATACATTTTTATAAAGATGTCACAAAGATGCATAATGCAATAAAATATTTTATTCAGACATTCATAAGTCATTGTCGAGATAAATATTCCTATGCACTTTGTTATGAACTGGGTGCAACAATGGATTCAAGATTGAAGTCTCGCAAGTCAACAAGAAACTAGGAAAAGTTAGCGAATTGTAGAAGCAGGAAATATGTTCCGAGATGCTTTGTATAACTCGACACAACTATCAGCGAAGAATATCATTTTTCTGAAAAAAAATTACACCTACATAATATTTCTTCCGTGAATATAAAAAATAGAAATATTGCAATATATCCCGATTCAAGCACCTCGAAAAATGTGGTATCAGAAAAAAGTGCTTAGATCGATTCAGGAATTTGATACTGAAAACCCACTTGATACTGAAATTAGTTGTAAGCAGCATTTTTCTCTAGGCAAATTGCGTTAACTTCCCAATACTTATACATAATCAATTTTATCAATGAGAATTGAGATTTAGCTATTTAGGTGAAAAAGGTCCAACTATTATTTTGAAAATAAAGTTTTCGCTTTCACTAAAACTTAATCAATGCGATTTCCAAATGAAATCTATCAAACTCATTTACACTATCTGTAATTTATTTATAAGTTGTTTTAATTTTGTTTACCACATTTCATTTTGACTTAATACTACGTCGGTTTTATGGATGGCAATCCAAACAGATGTCTCACCTATGAGATAAATTTTATTATTACAATTTTTAAAATAAGGCGAATATCTTGTTGATGCAGCAATGCCGGCTGACGGCTATTTTTGCTTGGAAACACATTGCTATCTAACGACCATTTTATGGTGAGCATTTCCATAAATAATTTTTTTGTTCAAGTTTACGGTTGTGC